CTCTTTGGCATGTGACTTCATGGGCTGATCAAATTTTGATCTACTGTTGTTTTATTTCGCCATATATTATAATTATTGAAGCTCATATGATATGACAGAACTGTTCTGCAGTGTTCAAATATAAACTAACCCTGTATATTCTCTGTAAATTCATTACACAGGGTTACTATAAAATTAACTGAACACTGCAAGCTAACTCAAACAAAGTATTAAAAACATTCGTAAACACAAGCCATCTTCATGAACATTAATTTTTTTTTACTACAGACGCTAAGTTTGAATTTCGAACATTAAAAATACCTTGAAAAACATAATCAACTTCCGTACGTAACGCCAGTAGAAATGGAACATCGTATTTTAAGTTAACGCAATCGGCATGATAAAGAGCATTACGAAATTGCTGGTTATTTATTGTTAATTTTATTTACACCTCTCCAAAATTCTCCTGAATTTACCGATGTATATACTGTTAGCAATATGACTTTGAACAGATTATTATTTAATTAATGCACAGTGTCAGCTAAATTCTTTGAGCTTCATAGTAAAGATAAACGTGTGATTGAATTGGGGTAAACACACGCTAATTATAGACGCTGTTGTTTGTAGGTTACAGGTAACCGCCTTCATACTGATTGCATGGCCAATGTTTTTACAACAATTAACACCAATGCAAGATAAGTGTGAAAATGTCGTTTCTTGAAAAATTACCGTCCGGATAAACGAGTCATTTTTCAATGAACTATTATGTTTTGTAGTAGAAATTGACCGTCCAGATATGGAACACGAATTTCTGGATTAATGAGACAAAATAACGTGGAAAAAATCGGTTTCCAAAAAATATCGTCTGGATGGTGAAGTGTCCGGATAAATGGCGTCCAATAAACACGGCGCCACTGTACTTAATTTTTAAAAATAAATTTCATTTATAGAAAAATACAGATTGTCTGACTTGCTTTCAGATTTTAGGATCCATATGTCTTTTTTGGTTTTTGCTGCATTTTACAAACATAAAAACTATGTTGATGAAGTTTAGGTAAGAGTCATTGAGGAATAAATGTGTAAATCTGTGATTTTCATAACATTTATTATTGTGTTTGATAATTCCTAAAATAAAAAAATAATAAAAACCCACCTACCTACCCACCTTGAAAAATATGGGTCGGAGTACATCAAACAAATATTTTTAATGATGGCCTAAAATAACAAAAATAACCCTGTATACAGTTTTCAAATTGTAACCAGATCTGTGAGGCCTCTGGGACCATCAAACCCAATTGTCAGTTGATGCATTTAGTTTGGCCATCTTTTTTTTATGCCCTGCCATGAATATGGCCATAGTAACATAGTGTTTGTCATGTCCATCTTCCAACCTTCCGTCGTGCTTGCGTTTAGCTCAGTTCAAAGCTCATTTTCAAAGAAACTATCCAAGATATTTTCATCAAACTTCATATGCTGATAGATATTGATGAGAGCTATGCAACTGCATCAACATTTTGTGACCTTGACCTTTCCTTTGACCTTGACCTCACTTTTCCTAAATTAGTGTTTAGCTCAGTTTTAAAGATACCATTCAAGATAGTGTAATCAAACTTCATTACGCATTTGTTGTTATGCTGATATATACTGATGAGAGCTATTCAACTGCATCAACATTTTTAGCTCACCTCAATGAAGTTGGGGGAGCTTATGTAATACCCTCGGCGTCGGTGTCGGCATCCCAGGTTAAGGTTTTTGGAGCAGTTTTCTTTTCAAGTACTTCTATGGCCTATATTAGTCAGAGATGCATGGAGGATGCTTCTAGTGTGTTTCATTGTACCAGTCAAGGTTTCAGATGCTGCAATTTCAGCTAAAGAATGACCAGGTTAATGTTTTTGGAGCAGGTTAAAGTTTTTGGAGCAGGTCTCATTTCCAAGTAACTATAAGCCCTATATTGACCAAACTTGCATGGATGATACATCTAAGGATGCACACTACTGAACTTGCTTCGAATGCTGGATCTGACCTACATTTTCCGGATGAGTGACTAGGTTAAAGTTTTTGGAGTAGATCTCATTTCCAAGTAACTATAAGCCCTATATTGACCAAACTTGCATGGATGATACATCTAAGGATGCACACTACAGGACTTGCTTCCAAGAAACTTCAAGCCTTATGTTGACCAAACTTGCATGGATGATACATCTAAAGATGCACACTACCAGGCTTGCTCTGACCGACATTTTCAAGATGGGTGACCAGGTGAAAGTAAACTATAGAAGAAAGTAAGGGCTATTTGATCCAAACTTTCATGGATGATGCATCACAGGATGCACACTCTCAAACTTGCTTCAGATGCTGGATCTGACATTTTCTGGATGAGTGACTAGTTTTTAGGTGAGTCCATTCCCAAGTAACTGGAAACCCTATCGGACCAAAATTGCATAATGTTACATCTAGGGATGCACATTACTAGATTATTAGTTTAGTGTGGGACTTTGCCTTACTGCAAAGACAACATTTGTTGAGGTTAGCTCTGTAATCTCTGATTACTTATGTTTGACGTACAGGTAGTTGATCGGGTGTAGGTTTGGAAAGGGTATTTTTCCGACCCATATACTGAAAAAAAAAATTGCACAATTCGATCATTTCCCAAAGTGGTCATTTTGGCATCTAAATTTTAAAAGTTTATCAAAAATGCTATGCACATATTTGTTGTTTTGACAATAGATTCAACAAAGTCCAATTATGAACCAAAAATTAACCCCCCCCCCCACCCCCTTTTTTTAAAAACAAAAATCTTCTTTCAAAAATTCTCTCTTAAACAGAATTTACATCATTAAATTCTGTAATATCAGACTGGTAATGAATTTGGTATATAGTCAAATATTCACCTGAGCATTTTATGCTTGATTTAAATTATATAGAATTATTGTGGATTCTTCCCTGGTTACCCAATTATGAAGGAGAGTGATACTTTCTATCTGTTAATCAGTGATATATTTATAAACTGTAAAAGTTTTAACTTTATAAACCACATAGTTTTGGAGCTATTGTAAAAATAAATTTTTGGACATGTTGACCTTTGGCAAAACCTTAAAGACAAACACCTTAGTGCAGGCATTACTGTCTTCATATGACAGCATCTAGTTTCAAATTATGCACAGTACTTTCCCGCACTGGTGAACCAAGTTGTGAAGTAAAATATCTGGATGCAATCATTACTCCATTCTCTAGTGCATATTTTCCGATTTTTGCCCAAACCTCCAGTGAATACACATTGTAGGTACCACGTTTTTCTCGCTTTGGTGTTTTAGGCAATTCTAAAAAATTATTGACATATTCACAAAGGTCTGCTGCTTCTTTACTGTTTTCCTTTTCTGGGTGGGGAAGAAACTCGTCACGTTTTCTTCTATTAAAAAGGTTTAAAATCAACATTGTGCCACGTCCATGTGCTTGCAACATCACGGAAAAGTGAACGAATGTATACCTGTGTACATGAGTTAGAAATAAATCCTTTTGTGTTTACATGCTTGAGTGACCACAAAATCAAATATGGGCATTGATAAAAGGAAAAAATGTCACATTTATATTTTTTAATATTATTTTCATGTATTGTAATGAGATTTGTCATGGGTTCATTTGGCATCACATGTCAAGGTATATAAATGCGGATAGACCTGTACTTTCTAATTATAAACTTTAAAAACTCCAATAGACCCGGACTTTCTAAAAACAGATACACCAACTCCTCTTTGTAATTGTGATGTCATAATGGGTATGAAGTAACAATGTCTTGAATGTGGATCTACTCTACATAGTTAACATAGATGTTTTTATATCAAGAATAAATTGATTTAAAAAAAAAAACATAAACAAATTTAGAATTTCAATATTTTACATTCCTTAAGAATAAAGGAAACACAGTGGCATGAAAACAGCTTATTTTGTTTAGATGTCTTAGACTAGTATCTAATTATGTTTAAAAAAAGAAGAGAAAACTTTGTTCCTCTTTTTCAAATTAAATTTGTTCTGTCAATCTCTTTAAAAAATAATATAACAATTAATGTACCCCTTGTTCATTCGGTCAATCCATAGATATATTGACTTCACAGAAAAGCATATTGACAAGCACAAGCACTAAAATTTATTTGCGCCAATGGATTCCCACTTGCATTTGCGCTAAAATATGTATGCACCAAATTTTCTCGTTTTACAGTACAACTGTCATGTAGTTATACATATAATGGATAGTTTGACCTTTTATTTACATATATACTCAGGTCCTTCGGATGAGACCATATAAACCGAGGTCCCGTGTCGCAGTAGGTGCTGGCACGAAAAAGATCCCTCATTGCTCAATGGCCCTGAGTGCCGAGCATAGGTCAAAATTTGCAGCTCTCCACCTGCAAGTGGTGGCGTCTCCATATGAGTGAAAAATTCTCGAGAGGGACGTTAAACAACAAACAAACAAACAAAACATAAATACTCTGGTGTACATTTTTTACCACTTTAAAGTTAAAGACAAGACAATTGAAAATCATCAGCAATATCCTCCAAATTTGGAGGATAAGCTATTCCCCCAGTGCATTGCAATTTTTTATATAATTATATGGTAAAAATTTGGCTTCCAATTAAGTCATATTTTGGTTTTCTTTCAAAAATGAAGGCCACCTTGACCTGTTAATATTGCATGGACTATATACTACTTTATGGTAGTAGTATTTAAAATTTGCACGTCTACAAAACAATCATGTTTTCCTTCCAGAGTTTATTGTGAAGATAATTAGCACTTGTCATTGTCATTGAAAATGTGAGATGATCAAGCGTGAGCTAAGAACTTTAAATTCACCTTTAAAGAGATTTGAAATTTAAATTTTGTTAGACTGTGTACTCTTGATTCTTTTGTTTTATGCACACATTATAATATGTCAGACCTATATAGGATGGTGCCTCTAGTATGAATTGATTAGACTTTAGACGTGAATCCATAAAGCAATCAATATTTCTGATATTTTGACAGGATGGCTGACCTAGGTGTGCTGAAGTCCTCCTCCAGCGGTCAGGACTTCTTGTTTGATTTTTCCACCACCTTCCAACAGATGGTGGGGGATGTACACTTTTACTCCTGCCAGGAGTCTGGTTGTGATGAGAACACCTTTTGTACACCTGACACTGTTGATCAGTGTCTCTCCTTCCTTAATCAGGTAGGTATTGATTTTAAAGATACTTCTGCCATTGATCAACAACATCATAATATTATCTGTGAATGAGCTGTTATAAATGTCCACTACTTAAATGTTGAAGTTAAACAAAGCAACAATGTATGGGAACAAAAGTTAGTTTTTATTGTTAAGGTGGAAAAGTTTGATAAACTAGACATTGTTATCTGATAATCAGGAAATGGTACAGGTAAATGACCAAGCTGTGATTTTAGCAATTCCTGTACTATACAAACATTACATAATAGAGTGATGTACACAGAATGACAGATGGCCAGGTAATTATACATTGTATGGATAAAGAGATGTCACACTGGTTCTGTTTTATGATGGCAGTTCTGGTTGGTGCTGTAAAGGTATCTATAATTACAAAATTTATATCCTACATCCAGTGAATATAGCATTATATGTCTGAGACTATATAATTTATGTAGCATTATTTGTCTGAGACTATTTGTAGCATTACATGTCTGAGACTATATATGTAGCATTATATATCTGAGACTATTTGTAGCATATGTCTGAGACTATTTGTAGCATTATTTGTCTGAGACTATATGTAACATATTATATGTCTGAGACTATTTGTAGCATTATTTGTCTGAGACTATATGTAACATATTATATGTCTGAGACTATATATGTAACATTATATGTCTGAGACTATATGTAGCATTATTTGTCTGAGACTATGTGTAGCATATATCTGAGACTATGTGTAGCATATATCTGAGACTATTTGTAGCATTATATGTCTGAGACTGCAGGTATAAAGTACATTGTAAATTTATCAGTGAACCATTTTTTTAAAATTTAATATGCAATATGTATATTTATCTTTTATAATTCTTTATTTTTGACTTCAGTCTTGCAGGTACTTAAATTCACTACTTCAAGATACATGACATATAACAAATTTTACATACATATCTTTTTTAAAGGAATATATAAAAAAAAACTGCAATTCATTCAAAATGCTACTCGGTCATTATATTTTTTTCATATACCCTGTTGTGATGTCACAGTAAATGCTCTTTGGATTTGTTTGACAATGATGAAGTAAAATAATGTGAATTCATGTATATATATAATTTAATTCTTGTTGTAACATGCTTTTTGATTGGCTGAAAAATTAGTTTATACTAATAACCTATAACTATAACCTGGGTTGCCTACGTCACAATGACTTGCGTCAAAAACGTATCAATCCGCTTGACATTACATTTAAATTTTGTACAATTTAATGTCATATTTGAGGTGAAATTGTCTATTTTTCCTACACTTAATGATAGAAAATTAAATTATAAGGAATGAATTTAATAGCTGCCATTGCGCTCATTGCACTCTACCCTATCACTATTATTCATTGAAGTTAGATGTACAGTAAAACATGGTTATATAGTGAACACCCTTAAGGAATGAATTTAATAGCTACCCAAGTTATATGGTATAACCTGGGTTGGAACAGTTTACACTTCTTTATAAACCGCTTTGCGGTTTATAAAGCACAAACTGCCCCAACCAAGGTTATACCGTATAACTTGGGTAACTATTAAATTCATTCCTTAAGGGTGTTCACTATATAACCATGTTTTACTGTACATCTAACTTCAATGAATAATAGTGATAGGGTAGAGTGCAATGATCTTACAAACTAGAAAATCTTGCGAGTCTGCATTTCACTGAGGGCTCTGTATGGCCCAGCTAGTGAACCATTTTTACATTGTGCTATTTTTCAGCGGAATGCACTTATGCCACATGGCAGGGCCCCTTCCCAGGCCCTGTTCAAATAATGACTTCCAGGGATAGGAATGGCCGTTATAAAGGATCAAAGATTTACATAGGAATATATAGCAGAAAATCTTTTTAAAAATTTTTAATTTTAATTTTTTTGAGCATTTAATCATGGAGGAAGCTGTGGAAGTGAAATGTGAACAAAAGGACAAAAGTGTGTTTGACCTCCTAGGCTTCACAATTATTGGTTGATTTTACAGATTATTTTATTTACCATGGCAACATCAATTGTTGAAATGAGAAAAACAATATATGGATTTTACTGTATTATGTTATTTTACTTAGTGAAGTTTACAAATGTACCAACAGCAAGACCATATGTTACCATGATGATTTTAAAGCATCCCCAGGATGTATGTTTCAAGTTAGGTTATTTCTTGATGCCTTTGGGGGTAGTGTACGATGGGCCACAATATGCCAGGGTATGAATTTTTTGTTTGAAAGTAAGAAACCAATTTTCTCAAAATATTCTTATGAATAACTGCAGGGCCAAGTGTTGTGGCCCATGGGCCTGTTGTTTAATGATTCTCACAAATAATTGATTCCTTGTATTTTAATCAATGATAGATATACCATCAGTGATTTAATTGAGTAATTGGATTATTTGTTCACATCAATCCCTACTATAGAGCAGTTCACAGCACAGCATGCAGTCTATCAAGGAGGCAAGTAGTATACCTCTATTTCATATTTGTTTTGACAGGAATTACTTTCCCTGGGGTTCCAAGCTTTGTCATGTGACAGTCAGAGTAAAATGACAAGTCTGATTAACCGCCTCTACCAGATCTTGTGTCTGTACCAGAGACATGGCCGAACAAAGGAGGAACTTGAAAATAGGTAATCTTGTAGTCATCATACTTTTGGAATCCTAGCTACCACAGTAATACTTTATTCGTCACTTGGTATGATATTTCATTTATCTAATAGTGTCAGATCACAAAGGTATAAACATGCAAGTAAATGAAATTTCTATGTGATCATAAGTTTTTTAGACTTTTTTTAAATGTTAAGACAAGAGAAACTTGATTTTTAGTTTTAAAGATTTTTTTCTCAAAAAATTTTGATAGGAGGAGAAATAAAAAAGATATAGTTGATTTTTATAATTCAAATAAAATTTTTAAAATAACACATTCATGTCTTTAGCTCTTTACTGCATTCTTTGTTGCTGGTTGACACAGGGAACATAGGGCCTTATAGTCATTTGAGTAATATCAGCCATCAAGCTTTACTATATAAATCATTTTTAAAGATCACAAAACCCTTTTGGGAAAAAATAGGATATGAATCAAAATTAAGAAGTTGAACCTGTGTATGCAAGAAACTTAAGCTTTTTTTCAATCAGAAAGGATCAACTCAACAAAATATGATATTCAGAAAGGGCATTTATATGACCTCTGCATCATAGATCACTGTATTGGTGAATACATTATTAAAGTAATTCATGGTTAACAAAACTTTGCAGACTACTGCGTGTCAACAGTGAATGTGAAAATTACCAGCATGCTATTGCGAGGTTGAAAACAGAAAAGGAGAAACTTCTGAGAGAAATAAGTGTAGAGCAGGAGAAAAGCCGTCAACTGTTGGTCAAACACAAGACATCCACTACAAAACTCAAGTCAGAGAAGGAAGAGGTAAAAAGTGCTCAAGGGAGAAAATGAAATTTCAGTTCAGTGAGTTTGTGGTTAAATATTTACATCCACTGAATATTATTTCCTTTATTTCTTAAGAAACCCATTGCCGTTTATCAGTGAGTAAACAACACTAAGCAACCCACCTGCATAGATTTCTTGAGCAACGGCTGTTCCATCAATTATACATACAATGACATACACTTCTATAATACAATATTTAACATGTTTAATTTTACTTTGAATGTTTTTTAATACAGATATAAAAATAAACAATAAAATGACTTTCTTTGTTTGTTGGTACGGGAATTAATGTCGCAGCTATTGCAGAAAAAAAAAATTACATAACCCACTTACGAGGGTTATGTATTTTTTCTGCAACAGTTGCGACATTAATTCCCGTACTAACAACCAAATAAAGCATTTTATTGTTTAAATGATTAAGTTTTATTCTGACTTGTTATAGGTGAAGAGACTTACAAGCATAATCAAGGACAGAGATACACAATATAAACATGACCTAAAAAAGAAGGAAAGAGAATGTAATAAATTGAAGGAGAGAATCCATCAGTTACTAGCTGACAAGACACCCAATCGGAGAGTAGGTAAGAATAGCAACCTGACTTCCCACATCCCACCCCCACCCAGAATACAGACACCCAACACAGTGATAGGTAATTAAGGAATAATTCCAACCCACTTCTGAACAGATAAAGAGTCACTTAAATACCAACATAATAAAATGAGGTCAATATATAATACTGCATGTCAGTCACTGAGAAGCTGTAAGTCATGATTTCATTTACAGACCATGTTTGTTTGCTATTTAAAAATCGGTGATTGGATGTTTTTGATAAAGGTAGTATGTTCTTTTGTTAATCACTTTAATGTTTCACAGAACTGGGAAGGGGTGGGGGTTTCATATTAAAAACTTCTTTTAGTACCAATTTTTTTACTCTAACACTGCATTCCCCTTATATTACCCTTTGACAATACTGCAGCCAAAAGTGGGGGGGGGGGCAACCAGACTTTCAATGAACATTTCCTATAGAAAAACTTGTGTCTGGAAAAAAAGTGGGGGGGGGGGGGGGGCGCCCCCCCCCCCCCCCCCAATACTATGTGCCTGTATTGAGATTTCACTAGCATAGTAATTATCAAAAATTAAATTAAAAGTCTACTTTCATTTTCGATAAACGGCCCTGAAAAAGCAAAAAAGAGAGTTAGGTGGTGTTTCCGGTTGGCGGATCCAAGTTAGTGACATTAATTTTTAATGAGACTGGAAACTAGCAACTGTTTAATTATTTGATAAAACATTATCAATGAATAATTCAATTAAAATTTGATTTACATTATATGAAAGAAATAAGTTTTGATTACTGATTAGAAAATAAAATATGCAAATCATTTCAGTTTATGTTCGATCTGAGTCTTCATAGAAATTTCTAGAACATCAGATGGCATCGAACCCGATATAAGAAAGAAAAATGAGGTGTTTTATGTCGAAGCATAATATTGAAAAAAAAGATGATGTGAATGGGCAGGGAAATGATCTTTATAGTAAAGCAACTGATATCAGTATGAGTCATGAAAATGTTTATATATCAAAGAGCTTTTAGTAAGTGGTGCTAATAAATCTAGCATTAAAATTTGCATATTCGCCACAGCATAATGGCAATGAACCTGATGTACAAAAAGGACATAGTAAACTTGCTGAAGAGAAAATGTCAATAAATATGGTACTGTTTTAAAAATATGAAGTAAAAGTGATTTCATCTAAGTTTTTTTTTTTTTATCTTTGATGGAAAGGTAACAGAGCACTTGAAGTTTAATTGATATAAAAACAGTATAACAGGTATCAAAATATAAAGATGTTAACATAAATATAGAAATCCTCAATTAATGAAATTGATATCTTAAAAGTTAAAAAAGAAAAGAAAAGAAGGAGGTGTATATCTTGCCCACTTCTATTCCTAAACATATTGTGGGATTTTGTACAAAGTTTTTCTTCCTGCTATAAACCTATAATTAACTGCCAGTAGAAAGTATAAGATGCATGCATAATATTTGAATTGATCAGTAAAAAAAAAAAATCAATTTCCTGTGCTTGTGTAGGATTTCATCTGCTAGGTAATAGGAAATTGTGGTGTGGAAAAAATACTTTTGGTCAAAAGGTTGAGGACAGTTTTATGATTTTAAAATGAAATTTTCTCCTTACTCCTTCAAAACATCTGGAGATATGAATGCTAACTCAAAGAGATGGTACAAAACATCTGGAGATATGAATGTTAAACTCAAAGAGATGGTAGAGAATTACAAGTATATGTGCAACAGCAACAAGTATTTCATTGACTACATGTCAAAACCAAGTAAATTTAATATATTATTTCATTTTTATATATATTTATGACCTTTGTTACAATTTTGCAGGTTTGGATATTGCTTGCTCCTTACAGAGCTCTGATGGCAAAAGAAGTACTTGGAAAATAACCTCTAACAAGTATGTAGCTTATTGCTACTACATAGCTCCCAAACAAAATAACATTTATGAACTCATTTACCATCAAAAGATTGTCAGTGGATTTTTTTTATGTAAAGTAATATATGAAGATTTAAGGATATTTTTCCAATAATATTTAATCTCTATAAACATTAATTTTGACATTTTTAGACAAGATGAAATGTACCAGCAGGTCATCACAATGTATGAGGAGAAACAGAAAAATCTATTGGTTGAGAACACAGAATTAAGGACCAGTCTGAAACATGTTTACAGAGACATCAGCAATGCACTGGGTCTTCATGATCACCTTACAACTCAAAAGGTTTTTATACTATCCATGTTTTTGTTTTCAATAGTCTATATATCTTAGTTATATATTTGGTCTTTTCTTGATTCTGATATAACCTAAATCATATAACTTGATCAAAACATTTAGAGAAACTTCATATTAAAGATATGTACTTTATTTTTGTTGCATAGAGTACTACTTTACAAGAACTCGAGTCTTGTTCTAGTGAAGAAGAGTTCACGACTTATCCCTCAGCTTGTAGTTATAGATCTCAGGACTCAGATGGTGAGTTTTACACTCAGTAACCACTAATAGCTATAGGATCAATTACCCATTATTCTCTGATGTGAAATTTGCATACTATAGAAGTAGCATTTACATAAAGAGTAAACAAAATTATAGAAGCAAGCACAATTTACTGGTGGCAAACAATAATTTCCTATTTCATTTGTGCATTACCTGTGAATAGGGCTGGGACGATATATTGAGATATCGATAATATTGATTCTGTGTGAGGACGATACGCTTATCGATACATATGAGAAAATATCGAAATATCGCAAAAAAAATTCTGACTTATGTTATTCTTTGTTTACTTAACATTTTGGGTTTAATATATAAAAGTAAATATGCTAGATATAAATATAGATATGAAATACATAAAAAATAACACAACTTGTGTAAAATAATTTTGTTTTCAAAAAGATATACAACTTCTTTAAAGTAATTATTCTTATTTATGAAGAAATGTTTTGTTCATTTCAATACCAAAAAAAGATTTAATAACCAATTCAACATATCGTGATACATATCGTATTGTGGCTCAAATATCGTGATACGTGGGATTTTGTCTGAAATGTACATAAATGTTATAAAATATAGTCATGTATAAAATATATATATATATATATAAAATATAAAACAAATATAAAACCTCAGGAATTTTGGAGGTTGAGTGTATTGCACATCCTTAAATTATTATAAACATTTGATTTCATACATTTTTAGGGTACTTCCAAATGCCTTATGACATGATAAAGGAAACACTGGAGACCATGTTCAAAGAAAGATCAAGAAAATTGAAAGAAAGGAGGAAAAGAAAGCTGCCAAGTGAGTGAGAGAAATATAGGATCATCCTATGGTTTGTGATTTTTTTTATCCAACAAGTTGTGTGTTTTTATCCCTGAGCCTTGATGAGGGGATAAAAAAACAATTTGCTGGATAAAAATTTTTATTATATACCCAACTGTTTGTCACTCAGTTTTACTGATGAATTCACGCAATCACATGACGATGTGATCCGACGTTCCGGATCACCACACTGTGGTTTTCTGAATCCATATCACCCCTCTCTGAAACTGATGACGTAGTACACAGATAAATGACGTTTTTATTCTCGCGCATCAAATTGTTCCTTGACAAAATGGTTTGTTTAATGGACTTAAGTTCTGTAATTGATCCAGAAAGTTTCCTTTTATTATATTTTGCTAGTTGTAAAAGTGTCTCGTTTGATCTGATGATCCGCACCTGTCAACTTGACGTGATACGGCTCTTCGGATCAAGTTACTGTTATAATAATATATATATATCTAATCACAAACCAAGGAAAATCCTTTTATGAGGATTTTTATGCTTTGCACTGTTATATATAAGTAAATCCACAATATTTGACTTGATCAAATTCACACAAAAGTGATTGCGAAGACACAACTGTGGATATAAAAACGATATCCTATGAGCTATATCCTCTGTATAAAGGAGTAACGTGATAAAATTGCATAATTATTTTTAAAAAAAGTGTATCATTACTAGTTTATTATTCAAATATATCATTGAGGGACTTGGCCAGATTTTGGTATTTCAAGATCTGTCTTTGAGGTGATTAAAGCCTATAAGGAACTTCATCTGATTAAGGGAAACCTGAATCTAAATTGTCTGCATTAATTTATTTTTATTAACACGAATGTATAAAACTTGAATTAATTAAAGATCATGGGAAACAGTTCTTAATACTAGGATTTCATTTTTTGAACTGAAGCTGAATATGATTGAATGTTATATTACACTCCCACACTGCACAAATGGTACACGTTCCCAACACGGTTTACAAGAAACACTTTACACAAAAGGCTAAACAGTTATCTCAAAAGGCTGCACAAAACATTTTTATATGATTCTCGCACGCTTTGGCTTCGATCTGGATTTTCTATTTGGAATCTCTCGAACATTATTTATTAAATGTTGTACTAATTAAAAATAGATTAAATGAATTGCACACTTTTTGAAAACCAAAGGCTTTAAAGTTTAAAATATGTTTTTTCATTGTGTTTACCAAAATATTAAGCCCTGATACACCTTATATTACCAAGGTATAGTTATAAAGCATAATTAATGCAAATCATTTCCCAGTGAATACACCAATAATTATAAATGGTCTACAGTTCTTGTTTAGGAAGATGATTTGATCAGCACAAGATGAGAAGAGTTAGTTATGCAGCTTTGTAATGATAAGCAAAAAGAGAATTAAAGAATGGACGGTTTGGGATCGCTAATAGTATATTGTTTTTAGCTCACCTGAGCCGAAGGCTCAAGTGAGCTTTTCTGATTGAAATTTGTCTGTCGTCGGCGTTGTCGTAATTTTTTTCACATTTTCATTTTCTTCTCCAGAACTACTGGGTCAATTTCATTCAAACTTGGCACAAAGTATCCTTGGGTGAAGGGGATTCAAATTTATACAAATGAAGGTCCACGCCCTCCTCCAAGGGGAGATAATTACGAAATAGCAAAAAATTAATGGCATTATTGAAAAATCTTCTTCTCAAGAACCAATGGGCCAGGAAAGATGAAACTCATGTGGAATTATTGTCAGATAGTGTAGATTCAAGTTTGTTCAAATCATGACCCCGGGGGTAGGGTGGGGCCACAACGGATGATCAAAGTTTTTAGGGATATATAGGAAAAATCTTCAAAAATCTTCTTTTCAAGAACAGCAAAGCTATGATTAGTCATATTTATATGGAAGCATCCTCAGGTGGTGTAGATTCAAGTTTGTTCAAATCATGACCCCCGGGGGTAGGGTGGGGCCACAATGGACAATCAAAGTTTTACATAGGAATATATAGGAAAAATCTTCAAAAATCTTCTTTTAAAGAACAGCAAAGCTATGATTGGTCATATTTATATGGAAGCATCCTCAGATGGTGTAGATTCAAGTTTATTCAAATCATGACCCCCAGGGGTAGGGTGGGGCCACAATGGACGATCAAAGTTTAACATAGGAGTATATAGGAAAAATCTTCAAAAATCTTTTCTCAAGAACAGCAAAGCAATAATTGGTAATATTTATATGGAAGCATCTTCAGGTGGTGTAGATTCAAATTTTTCAAATCATGATCCCAGGGGGTAGGATGGGGCCACAATGGATGATCAAAGTTTTCATAAAGTATATAGGAAAATCTTCAAAAATCTTCTTTTCAAGAACAGCAAAGCTATGATTGGTCATATTTATGTGGAAGCATCCTCAGGTGGTGTAGATTCAAGTTTGTTCAAATCATGACCCCCGGGGTAAGGGTGGGGCCACAATGAACAATCAAAATTTTTTATAGGAATATATAGGAAAAATCTTTAAAAATCTTCTCAAGAACAGCAAAGCCACGGTTTGTCATATTTATATGGAAGCATCCTCAGATGGTGTAGATTCAAGTTTATTCAAATCATGACCTCCAGGTGTAGGGTGGGGCCACAATAAAAGTTCAAACTTGTAGAGAAAAAAGTCACAGTTAGTCAAAAAATTATGTAAGCATCCTGAGTTAGTTTAGATCTAATTTTGTTCGAATCATATCCCCACTCCCTTTTAGGGGTAGGTTGGAACAACTTATGCATTTAAGCTTTTCAATACTAAACTGATATTTGCTTTTTTCCTAGCCACAGAGCTCAGGTGAGTGATGTGGCCCCTAGGCCTCTTGTTTATCACATGTTTACCCCTTTATCCCATGGATATCACTTATAGGATATTCTTTTCACATCCCACTGTTGTGAGATCACAGTGTTTTGTGTGAAAATGATGAAGTAAATAGTGTGTATTCATATATAAAAACTGTGTAAAACATTGATAGTGATGTAAAAAACGTAATAAAAAGAATCTCCCGTGATTTGTGGTGTGTGTTTTTATCCCCTCGCCAAGGCTTGGGGATAAAAAACACACAACTAGTTGGATAAAAATCATATCCAACCACAAATCATGAGAGATCCTATACGTTAGTTACTTATCCTGTATTTGCTAAGTTTACTTTACACAGCTGTCCTATAACATTTTTTGAATCTTCTGTTATTTCTAGTTATTTCTTACTTTAAAGTGGGAAGCTGCATCTCTGAATGTTCGATTTCGCTAACATATAGTAACTAAAAAATTTCAGAATAATAGAGCAAAATTAAACGATGTTCATTGAAAATAAATCATGGAAGTCATCCAAAGTTAAGGGCCTCAATAGGAGAGAACAGTCTATGCCAGGGTATTGGTCACGGAAATTACTGTATATACACAGCCATAGACGATAACAAATATTTACTGGTGTAGGTGACAGCAAACTTAATTCTGTAATATATATATATATATATATATATATATATATATATATATATATATATATATATATATATATATATATATATATATATAATTATTTTTAGGTCCTAACAAACCTGCCAGAACTTGTCCCCCTAAACAGTCACCAAACAAATATTGTGACTTGGAGCAGCTCAAGAAGGAAATGGAGACATTGAAAAAGCAGATTAAGACATACGAAGATCAGCTAGAGAAGCACAAAAGGGAGAAGGAGAATTATAAAGAGGTCATCCAACAACAGGAGGACATGATACAGGTCAGATGATACATAATACAGATAAGATTTATGATACAGATAGGACTTACCATACATGCTACAGGTCAGATTTCATGCATAAGTGCAATTAAGGTTTAAGATATGTAACCACTGGATCAGAAAAGATCAAACTTGTGAACGCTTCCAGACATTATGTAGATTGGACCCAATTCGACCATTTAAAATGCATGCATGCTTTAAAAATAAAACCAGTGAATACTGTTGTACAAATGTCAAATCCAATAGTGTAATCGCTCTTTGTAGTGTATTGTGAGAGTTGCAATATCATGAAACAGAAAAAATTAAAAATTTCCCTCTGAATTTTCTATTTGCATTTAATCAGGATTGATTCCAGTGCAACAGAATATCAAACTATTGGAGTCCAACTTAATCTGATGGATTTTAATCATAAACCTCTATTCAGTTGCTGCAGGTGTATTTAAAGGCAGAGATTTTAAGCACCGCATTCAAAAATATCTGGTCTGTGTACCCCTGTCAATCAAGTGATTAAGGTACATCATTGGGTGCTAGAACTTGATTGACATTTACTTACTAGTCCCTGTGTATACCCTGTACACCTTGTTTGACACTCCTGGTGACCTTCAAATTAACTTTTGATCCTTAGATATTTACCACACGTGGTATAAACAATAGAGAAACTGTGTTACTATCGAATTTTTAGCTTGATTATACATATACACACACACTTTTAGTATTTGAAATAATTATGATATCTTTTATGATAAGATATATGAAAAGTAAGTATAACTTTTTTCAAAACTCAACAAATACTTTAAATAATAATATCATTTTAATGGATGGGGATGCTTTGACACACATTCAATTACAAATTGATAAAAATTATTGAGGTTAAACTTTATTTCCAACCTTTTATTTCTAATTTTAAATCATCTCAAAATCCCAACACAGGTAAAGTTTGACTTCTTGGGTATACTACTGTGTATTAAATCACTTCCTGTGTATAGAGATTGGGAGAGAAACGACCACAGGTAGATTGCCAGCCCTCAAGGCATTCACACCTGTACAAAATAAGCCCCTCCCTTACCTGGAATTTACCACCCGGTAAAAAATCTCTGCCTTTAAGTTCATTTTGGATAATTAAATTTTGTTATTTTTTTGTCTGGGAGAAAACATAAAATTAAATCCAGCTTAAATTATTTAGTTTTTAAAACTCATTATTAGGGTCCCAAATGAAAATATGGGAATCACATTGTCTGTCAACACTTTTCTTGTGATGTGATAACTCAAAGAGTTTTCAACAAAATGTTTTCAAATTTTGAACACAAATATTTTAGTATAAGAGCAAGATTATACCTGGAGAATTGAGGGTCATATCACTTTGTCTATACATATCTTTGAATTAGGCTCACCTAGTGTGGATTTGTTTCTTAACTGGTGTTAACAACAGCACAGATCAGTAAATTACTGGTATATATGGCAATTGTATTGTTATCATAGTATGGTGACCAAAAGATTATGAGCAGCAGCATTTTCACTTCATATGCAAATCTGAAGTACAGTATTTTTATTTTTGAAGTGATAAAAAAAAAAAAACAATTAAATTAATCCACATTAAATCATTGTCAAACAAAAACATTGATTTTTTTTTTGTAGGTCAAAAATACATTTATACCATATGCAATCCTTAGTACTTCACAGTTCTTCCAGTACTTTGATTTCTTTACAGAATTCCATTCAAATGCACAAACACCAAAACTCAACAGAGCATATTTTGGATGACTCCAAGGTTGAACAGGAACGACGGAGTCTTTTAGAGCAGAAGAGATTATTTCATGAAGAGAAGAACCACTTCACAGAAGAGAGGAAGCAGTTTACAGAGGCAGCCATTAAACTGGGTAAAGAGGTACGTGTATTTCAGGACCCGAGTCACTCAGTACATTATTGAAGGAGTCAGGAAAATTTCAGTGCCCTTGAGCAAGCCTATTTCAAGGATTTAGGTTAACTGTTTCATTATACGATACAAAAATTAGTCCAATTTTAAAATTTGCAACTGCAATTCTGTTTCTTACACAGAGCAATTGTAGGAGCACAGTGGAATTAGCACTTACCCAGAATATAGATCAAATGAAATGTACAAATTCAATAGAAAAGTATTTGAATTATAGTCTACAGTAAAAATCAGATATAGCGAAGTCCTGGGGACCTGTGAAATTACTTCACTATATCCGTAATTCGTTATATCCGTATAAGGAATTCATTAAATTTATATAGCTGGGGATCCAAGAAAACTTTGTTATATCTGTAAATTTGCAATATTTGTGTTCGTACTGAACGAGTTTTACTATATAGAATACATGATTCTGCAAGGAATATTCTGTTTAGGAGTTCTAAAATGGTGTGTATCAATTCATCAAACTGATGCACTTTTTTCTAGGAATCAGTTTTTTTTACATTCCTTTTTAAAGAATCAGCAAATTATATCAGTTTACTCTTATATAGTGAAAAATCAATAAAGTTGTAATAATTTCTCTTAACAATCAACCTGTGTTCTACTTCAGAGGAGAGCTTTAGAGGAAGAAAAGACTGCCATTTTAAAAAATCAGTTTCTTCAGATATCACCCTTCAGATCTCCCTCAGACAAGTCTACACCTCATAAAGGTAGGTTCATCTGATTCAGTACACCTCATAAAGGTAGGTTCATCTGAATCAGTACACCTCATAAAGGAAGGTTCATCTGAATCGGTACACCTCATAAAGGTAGGTTCATCTGATTCAGTACACCTCATAAAGGTAGGTTCATCTGAATCGGTACACCTCATAAAGGTAGGTTCATCTGATTCAGTACACCTCATAAAGGTAGGTTCATCTGATTCAGTACACCTCATAAAGGTAGGTTCATCTGATTCAGTACACCTCATAAAGGTAGGTTCATCTGAATCAGTACGTACACCTCATAAAGGTAGGTTCATCTGATTCAGCAGGGTTCGACACTAATGGTAGCCCGCTGGCCCGGGACAACTGAAAATTAAGGTCAGGCTACTAAACATGTATTAAAGCTTGCCCTGCAGGGCTACTGAAATTTTTTACCAAACACGGAGCAATTGTAAAGATTTATAATTTTATAAAGTACAAGTTTTGATTTTGTTACAGTCACTTAGAGTATTCAGCGATTCTCGGTAATTTACCTTACCGCTGTACCTCATACGACAAATCCACATGTGTGACAACCAACCAGGTTTTTTTTAAAAGCATATACTTATCAGCTACAAAAAATGAAGAGGTAAACATGCTTTAATTAAAAAGTTAACAATTTAATAACTTGTTATCCTTATCGAAGAAACATCCCTTTTGAAAATGTTCAATACATGGTTTTCCTCATAGATGTCGTAGCATTAATTGCTGCATTTCTAGCCCTCTTACAGTTTGGGTTATTTCGAATCACGTGTGTACATGACCGCAGCCAAACAAATTGCACACGCTGCACACTAAGTAATTAACTTTAAAATCAACAAGAAAAATCAAAAAGTAAATGATTTTTTTTTTATTTGGGGAGACTCTTCGTGAACAATACCAAATAATTAATTAATTAATTATATAGTTGTTTTCTTGTTGTTTTCTACCTGTTTTTTTTTTTCTGGTTATTCAAAATACCCAGAAGTGACCCACAATACAATAAAAAGGTGAGTAAATATAACTCCCCTTTGAGTCACTGAATTGAAGATGGACTTGCAGTGTAATGGAGATACCTGGCTTTCCTTTAATACCAAATAACCAGTTTTATTATACCTTTGTGATTTTTTTTAATATAAAAATATGACGAATAAACATTCTATTTTTTCCAAACAGCCCCTACCATGGAATAGTTTTTGTGCTATTTGCCCATGGTGAAATAGTCATTAAACTATTCACCGACAGCATTCTGTTTCCCTCGCTTTTCATCTCGGAACTCTCCTGGTTTTATCCAGATTGTGACGTAACACAAGTAAAAACTGCTTCGGTATAATAAAACACCTATTTGCTGGCTATGGGGACAATAGCAAGTTTATTGTCCCCCTCGACAGCAACTATTTCCCTTGGCTGCACCTTGGGAAATAGTTGCTGTCTTGGGGAACGATAAACTTGCTATTGTCCCCATAGCCAGTAAATAGGTGTATAATAAACTTGTTAATCTAATTATTTGCAGTCAAAATGTAAAAGGTGATTTAGAATATTCTAATTGACTACACATATGGAATTTTTCAAATAGAAAAACGCCTTAGTTACAGTCATGAAGTGACATATAATATTACCCAAAAATACAGCCAGAATGCAGGATTTGGCATCTCTATTTTCAAAATTTTCCGGGGGAGGCCCCCCATACCCCCACCAGCAGGAGGGGAAAGCCCCTCCCGCACCTACCCCCCTCATCGCTTCGCAACTCGGCCAGCAGCCAAAGGCTGCTGGACAACTAATTCACGAACAGGGCTAGTATAAATTAGAAATTGCTAGCCCTGCAGGCTTCTATGATTTTAGAGTTAGTGTCGATCCCTGTTCAGTACACCTCATAAAGGTAGGTTCCTGATATAGGTAGGTTCATGTGAATCAGTATACTGTAGATTCCTAAATATACGCGAGGAATAAATTATCGCGTAATTACGGGAGAAGCACCACTCGCGAAATAAAATTACTCGCTTTTATTTTTATGGTGCTTTAATGTATGTAAAATCTCTAGATAAATCATCCATTCGCGAATTATTGTTCTCGCGATTTGACGCCCTTGGGCCATTTCGCGATATTAAGTACTCGCGTAAAATAAGGAATCTACAGTACCTCATAAAGATAGATTTCTCTGAATAAGATGCATATACAGAACAAAACATGGTTAGTACCCATAAACCACAAATCTGGATATTTTTAGCATTGATGAATTTTTAGCAATTTTGTGCATGGTGTTCTTTAAAAAATAAATAAATAATAAAGGTCAGTTAAATCTCAATGAATTTTAATTTAAACTTGAATGTGAAACTCTTACAATGTTTTAGTCAATCATTTAAAAAAAGAGATTTGCATTTAGGATGATGTTATTTTAGTCTCGAATGAATTTTTAATGCCTTGTCAATAATTTTTGTCTAAAGTTTTGTTTATGATTTAGTCCTCCAGATGTACCGTTATGACCTTAAAAAATTGAGAGATGACCACAATAGCAGTAATGAATAACTTTATTTGTCAAACAATTGACCACAGTACCCATCAAATTGACTAAATTATCAATTTTCTGAAACCAGAAATTACCTTTGACAGTTATTGTTCCTTATTGTCAACCTGAACTCTAAGGCTTGTGTAAGCACTGAAGTGATGCAGAATTTAGTGTCACATGTGAACTAATTGAAGCTCTTTTTCTCAAACATACAAAGTAAAAATAAATGTGGGACTAAAAAATGAAGTTTAATAGAAAGATGAATGGATTGCAGTCACTAGATTTTTACCACTTTGAAAACATCAGCACTATATGGTGTTTTGTACAAGATGTGTTTGCAATTTCAGTGGATTCCATTCGCCTCCTTCCCTCCACCCCCCAGTTTTCACCAGCTTGTCCAGGGCAGCCAAAGACTCCATCCACTGTAGAACTCTTCAGATTCCTGGGAATTACTCCCAAGGAGCAATTTCTGTAAGTGTTTGCATGCATCTGAGATCTGTTTTACAAAGGAAATACATGTAATAACTTAGTTTAATCATTTTAGATCATTCTAACATATCTTGATAACTTGGTAATTTTGTGAGACTATACTTCATATATGAAATTACTTTACCACATTCTTATACAGAGTAAATTTACATTTTTATGCCCCCCTTTGAAGAAGGGAGGGCAAATTGCTTTGCTGCTGTTGGTCTGTCTGTCTGTCTGTCGGTCCAGCAACAGTTTCCGTTCATTTTCTTCACAGAGGTTGCACATACTGAAATGAAATTTGGTATACATATTTATCATAAGAATATCTAGGGCAAGTTCTGTGTTGGGTACAATCGAGCAATTTTTGTCAGAGTTATGCCCCTTGGACATAGAAAAATTCCAAATATTTGCAGTTTCCGTTCATTTTCTTCTCAGGTTTTACATACTGAAATAAAATTTGGTATACAGATTTATCATAAGAATATCTAGGTCAAGTTCTGTGTTGGGTACGATCGAGCAATTTTTGACAGAGCTATGCCCCTTGGACTTGGAAAAATTCCAATTATTGGGGGAGGGGGGCACAAGTGTTTCACAAACATCTCTTGTTTTATCAAAGTAAGAATAAAATAAAATGCAAAGGATCGGTAGGTTTTGCATTTCCTAGCTGAAGAATTTTTTGTCATGCCAAACTCTTTTATTTTTTCCTCACAGACATCACAAAAACTCCTCATTAGGTGACTCCAGTGAACTGAAGCGATCCCACAGCTATGAGTGCCTTAATAACAATACCACAGTGACCAATTCTAACGACAGTGGTGACCTTTCTGTATTCTCTGAGAATAAGTCTGGTGTAGTCAAGAAATCACTATTCCAGCATCTTTCCTGTACACAAAGTAATGATGATCTGGGCATTTAACAGAAAAAATGCTGTATATTGGAGCTGATTATTTGAAATGTGTTCTTTTTTTGTAATGAACTTTTGTGAGGGCTATTTAATATTTTTCATGACTTTTACCAGCAAATGTTTCAGTAGGGATTGGATTATATAGCCAAATCAAAATATGTATTAGGTTTTTTTAGCTCACCTGAGCCGAAAGCTCAAGTGACCTTTTCTGACAATATTTTGTCCATCTGTCTGTCTGTAAACGTTTAACACTTTCAGCTTTTCAAGAACAACAAGACCAATTTCAACCAAACTTGCTTAACCACCCAAAAAGGTATTCAAATTTGTTCAAATGATGTACTTCACCCTCTTTCAAGGGAAGATTATTAAGAAATTGTGGAAAATAGATTGGGTCATCTAAAAAAATCTTTAAAAAAAATCTATTGGATCAGAAAAGATGAAACTATTGTGGAAAATTCCTAACATAGTGTCAGTTCAATTTGTAAAAAATCATGGCCCCAGGGGTAGGGTGGAGACACAATAGGGGATCAAAGTTTTACATGGGAATAAATATACGAAAAATGTTTCTGCTCAAGAACAGCAAGACCATGATAAGTTATGTAAAGATGCAATCCTCCTCATACAAGTATAGTGCAAATGAAAGTTTGTTCAAATCATGAGCCCCTGGGATAGGGCCAGTTCACAATAGGGAATCAGAGTTCAACATGTGAATATACAGGAAAAATATTTAAGTCTTCCTCTCAAGAACAGCAGGGCCATGATCAGTAATATAAATATGCAAGCATTCTCAGGCAGAGGCAGTGCAATTTCAAGTTTGTTCAAATCAAGGCCCCCAGGGATAGGGTGAGGCCACATTAAGGGTTTAAATTTATATTTTAAATCTTCTCAAGAAGAGCAGGGCCATCATTTGGGGCATTTATATTCATTCTGGTGTATTGCAGAATTTAATTTCTTTTAAGTTATGGTTAAGATGACTTGGGTGAGAGTTGTGACCTTTGGGCCTCTTGTTTCAGTCACTGCATCCACATCAACTTTTTAGATCCACTTTTGAGCCATTCTGATCAACAGTTATTTAGTATCTGTCGTTCTGGTAACTTTTAACACTCTCAGCTTCTTTCCAATTTAGAAGGACAATTTCAGCTAAAATTTGCAGAAAGCATTGCTGTGTTTTTGGGGTTCAAATTCATTCAAAGGAAGGGCAGTGTCTCAAGTCAAGGGAAGATTATTAAGAATAATATTAAAGCAGGGTTGGATCGACATTTAAAATTTGTTTTCAGAACCCCATGTCAAAAACCATAAAAAAATTAATGCAAACTTTCTTATCTGGGGTTTGCACAAATGGTAAAATGATAAAGGTGAAAGTACCAGGGTACATATATATGAATTTTGTGATAAGTCAAGGCCCAAATTTGTAAGTTTGAATTAAAATTCTCTAAATAAAATTGTTAAAAGTGTAGACTTATCATTTATGGTTTATGTATGAGGATGAGGTATTATTTGTCTGTGACTGGGTGTGTGTTGTGGCCCATGACCTTTTTGTTTGGATATTAAGTTTTATCACTTTTATTGGATGTCAATTCTGTGTTGAATGCATGGTATATCACTATGAAGATCTATCACACATCTAATAACTATTAATCATTTTTGCTACCATGGGTTTGGGATTGTCAGAGTTTCAAAGGGCACTTTATTAAGTATCAAAGACAGAAGCTGGTGAAGAAATCGATGTTGAATATTTTTATACTTGTGTGCCCCTGTCAACTCTCTAACTTATCTTGCATATTTTCTCCTAAGTTTAGTATCTTTCTGGCATATTTATAAATACTTGTCTGTATGTTCAGCAAAGATTTTTAACATTTTCATCTTCTCCAAAATTACTGGACCCACTTCAACCAAACCTTAAGCAATCTTGAGTAATTGGGGGGGGGGGGTTAAAATTATTGAAAATTATTAATGAAAAATAAGTAATGAAAATGTGTGTCAGTATAATAAATAATGAATGGATGACACTTAAAAAGACAAAACTTGTAGAAAGTACCAGAAACACTGCAACATAAAACCTTTCTTTGGAATCAAATTGATAAATGGCAAAATCATTAGAATATTTGACCATTTACTTAGTTAAGGGTCAAAACGGGTCTCATTACATGTTCATTTGGCAGAGAAAGAAAGTGTGCAGTATATGTGATTCTTGTAATATAGTGATATAAGCTTTGTTTTTCTTTTAAAGAAGACAGTTACTTATAAATAATCAGAAGAAATTGCTGAGTTAGCATTGGTGTTGGGAATTCTGGGGAAATAGGGGAGACATGAACAATAAACAAAGTTAAATGCTTTTTGCTAAAATATTCCCCTGATTTGAATATTTGTTTAATTTTTATTATACACATGCAGAGCAATAAGGGAAAATGATGACAAATAGCTATATCTTAGTAACTTTAGTTACATAAATCAAAGTATCTTATATCAAAAGATTTTTCCTAATATTTATTAATTTTATTGATTGCAGCAGTGTAACTGATTCATTGCATTAATTAACAATTATGTAAAAGTGACCAAAAGGATTTTTATGCCCTTATAATTGAAGATTATACTGATGTAGTGGTATACCCTATTATTTAATACATGTAAATATAATAATACTAAAATGTACATGTATACTGATATGAAGGCCATGAAATCAACCATTACAAAAAAGTATGGTTGAGGTTAAAGTTTTTTAAAAGTAGGTCAAACTACAAGGTCATGATCATGAGGTCAAAAAATTTGGTACCCAAATAAAGGTCTTGGCACAAGAAGTACATGTGAAATATGTTAGCCCTAGTATTAATCATTCAAATGTTAAAATAAAAGAAGTTAAAATTCAAAAATGGTTGATGCTAGGGCTTTCATGTTTCAAATGTATTTCTTGTGACAGGACCATCAATTTTTACCTCATGACCTTGGAGTTTGATTTTTACCTTTGAAAACCTTTAACCTTGCTCATAACTTCAGAACATTTTATAGTATAGAGCTTTTATATTTCAAATGTGTATTCCTTATGACAAGACAAGGGTACCAATACTTTAACCCCTTGACCTCTGAGTTTGATTTACATTTGAAAACTTTAACCTTGGCCATGAGCTACCATGGGGGGCATCAAAGTTTCACAAACACATCTATCGTTATTTTAGTTGCACTTTAAACAATGCAGAAACTTTTTTTTGCAATAGAGTGAGAAATTCTTCAAATTTGGGCAAAAACATCTACATTGATATTATTAGTGTAATTTTATGTTAATGGGAAGTGTATTTCATTTCAGTGTATCATTCTACCTCCATGTAAACATATCAAATAACATATCATGTTGATGAGGATTTTTTGTCATCGAAAATGTATTCTCTTGTGCTGTATAGGTGCCTTGTTATTTTCAAATTGTATACAATTATCTTGTATTTTTTTAACACCTTTTTTTTTTGAAAAAAATAAAAGTTTATATTTTCAAAATATTTTCTTTTATTATTGCAAAATACTGCTTGCCATAAAATGATCTGGCATTTTACTGATCCTGACACTTGATATATCAAGGATTTATAGAGAGGTAAATCTAATTGTACAGCATAGCTCAAAATCCAAAAAGAACATTGGAGGGACAGTATGTATTTTTTGAGCAAGGGTACAATTAACTAGACCTTTTGTCCCCTGCTTTCATAAAAGCTCATTTGTCTGTTTGTCCTGTCACAAAAATTTTAGTCTTGGTCATAACTTTTGAATGAGAAAAGGTAGGGTTTTCCTATTTTACATGGACATTACCTGTGACTAGACCTTTTCAATGTATTATGATTTTTGATCCCCTTGACATTGAACTTTGACTTACTTTTAAAAACTTTTTACATAAGTGATCTTTTTAAATGAGAGAAGATTTGGTGTTCATGCTTGATATGTGCCTTACCTGTGAAGAGAACTTTCCAAATATCCTATGATATTAGCCCCCTTGACCATCACCTGGAAGTCTGGTCTACTCTCAAATTAACATTGGTCATAACTTTTGAATGAGAGAAGCTAGGGTGTTCATAATTGACATGTTGATTTGATGTGCATTACCTTTTACAAGGCCATTTGAATGTGGTATGTTTTTTTACCTTGTGACCTTGACCTTGAAGTTTAATCTACAGTATTTTCCAAAGTTTTTAACATTGGCCATAACTTTTGAATGAAAGAAGATAAGGCTTTCATATATTACATATATATTGCCTATGACAACACCTTTCAGAAAAAAATTCTGAATTCATGACCTTGACCTAGAAGCTTGACGTACTTATTTAAAGTATTAACTTTGGCCATAAAGTGTGTTACATTATGAAATGGGTGGTTATATTTTAAGTATTTTAAACAGAAAAACGTAATAATGGCAAATATTTTGCATGATCTGCGCTGATTGAAGCCAAATTACAGGTAGAAAATTTGAACAAGATTAGGGTAACGCAAATTTCCGACTAGGGTAAAGATTTTGTGACCTATTTGAGTGATTAGGGTAAAGCGTGTGTAAAATGTCATTTTGCTTGTTTCAGGGTTTAAAAAATGATATTTCAGCAGACTCAAAATACACTCTGCTAGTAAATTCATAATTCATTGCACCAAACACTATGTAACTGAAAATTTCTCAGTGTGCTGACAATTTCTGGAAGAGCACAATGGCCAAATTTTGTTCAAATCAGTGTATGTTTCTGTTCATAAAAAAATTGAGTCTTCAAAACACTGTTCTATCGATTTAGATATGTCGAAAAAGATTTCCAAATATCTACAGATCAATTAAAGTAACATCAATGAAATGTGAAAATAACGAACAGAAATGATACTCAAAATCCAATTTAAACAATACAGTTTATGAGCAGTGCAAACAAGGATCGCTGAAAACATCAGAGGTGAGATCAGGTGCCATGGGGAGTAGGCATCATCTTTCGATCGGTCACTTTCGCCACGTGTCCTTTGTTTTAATGAGATAAACGGAAAATGTGTTCACAATTCAGTATTAAGAAATTAATGAAATAAATTTATATGAAAGACATCAGTCAACATTCGAGCTAACAACATAATGTATTTGCTAACAAGATCATTGCATTGACGATGAAATATGAAGATAACGAACAGTGTTCCATCTCGAAAGTCCAATGAAACGATACAAATTTGTTGTTTAAAGACCTAATTTTTTTACCGTAGAGGAGAGAAAGTGGTCTTAGTTGTACTGGTGTTATTTACCTGGAGACCCCCAATACTCAAGATGTCAAAAATCCCTATACACATTGTAGTACACAGGAAGTCTGTCTTTGATAATCAAGATCAACATTACGCGTTTCTTGCGTTTCTTTCTTCTAATTTTGAGAGAAATTATTGTAAATAATTTATATACAGATGTATTTAATATAAAATTGGTTAACGTTTTCATCGATATCTTTTGAAGGAAAAGAATTATAAAGAAATGTCTTTTTTTTTTTTTTTTTTTTTTTTTTTTTTTTTTTTTTTAGAAAAAAGTAAAATAAAAATAAACTACAAAACTACAAAGCAATTATATCAATATTTTTTAAGGCAATATGAGCTGCAAATTTGATGTCGGAAATTTTTGTTGCAAAATTGTAATTAACTATTTCAATGACAGGAAAAAAGAACGTTTATAGAGTTTTGTTCAAATTTGCGATGAAAGAACTGTTTAAAGCTTTGGTTGAAGCCGAATTACATTATTGTCGTCCTGTACAATATTGATTCCTTATATAATACTATCTATTCGATTGTAAAGAAATCTTTCTTCTGAAACAATTTAATACTTTATTTAAATCAAATTAATCAAAAAGGTTCAAATTACATAGAAATTTATCAAAATAGTACATTTTAACAGCAAAATTAAATTCTCAAAAATGCAGCTCATATTGCTTTAATCCTCAGTTAAAGAAATCATTCAATATTATAAGTGTAAATATTGAAATAAAGATATTTCATTTGTCAATTGTCATGTGGACAATCCGAACTTTGAGCATGATTACTGTATGCTATTTTCGCATTTCAATCAATTGATAAAAGTTTATTTCAATTACCCGCAATAAGGATTTAACTCCGTTACTGTCGAGAACCAACAAATGCAAATTAGACATAGGTTGTTCACTCTTTTTCGATGATTTCGCCCAAAGTGAGGATTAAAAGATACAAAGTAGATTCAGACTTATACAGGAAACATACTTAAAGTTAAATGAAATAAATTAATTACATCATTTATACATGTATATTTATTTAACAATAAAATAATATATGTACCTAAAACGGAAAATATAATGTTCATAATAAGAGTAATATTTTATATGAAAATTGTAGATATTTTAAAAAAAATGCAATCGGTATGACCCCTTTGTGGAAGCAACAGTTCTTGAACATTTTCGAGAAAGCCTTTTCAAATTTTATTAATTGTACAAAGCAGTTAAAAATCAAAATCGCTCACAATCAGATTGTAGTATAAATAACTTTAACCTAGTCTCGAAAAACTTTACCCTAATCGTAAATAAATAGTTCAGAAACTTTGCCCTAATCTGCAGCAAAACTTTGACGTGCATTTTCTTTTTAATTTACGCTAAAGTTGAATAAACTCTTCAAGCGAGCATGTAAAACTGAAGCTGCCTGACAAATTGGTGCAAAATAAAGTCAAACTTTACTCTAGAAATCACCAATATTTGTAGAAAAAAATGTGAAGCGTTTCTGCCTATCGCTGTCTTGGACTAGGGTAACGCACTTTACCCTAGTCCGTTTCTAAACAGTGAATTTTTCCTCTAGAAGAGACAGGGCTTTCATATTTTTTTCACAAGAGCAATACTTGTGAAAGACCTCTAGGATTGTATTATGATAATTGACCTCATGTGACCTTCGTGTTGAAGTTTAAGGGGAAGAAGGACCTTGAGCTGAAAAAATACTTGTCATTCAATTTTTTTTATATTTTGTATATTTCTAATTAACTATGTCCCACATATCTTAAAGCAGAAATATCATTAGGTTTCTGACCTTATTTTCGAGATATTGATTAACAAATACTATGTCCTACAGTATCTAAGTGGAGTTTTAATTCTCCATGTTTCCGGGCTCATTACTCTGTCCACAATGGGATTTTTTAAGCATTTATAAAAAAAAATATGTAAGTGGACATGTATCTTTTAAAATATTTTAGAGTATGAATAGGGTTTAAGATTCGAAAAAGCAAGTTTCTTCTATCACTCTGCATCTGGATAGGGAAAATTACGTACTTTTTAAGACAACTTAAACAACATAAAACGTAATTTACAAAAAAATTCTATCGTTCAATATTTTTAAATTTACCTTGAAATGCAAGTCCTTCGTATTATTGATTAACTGTAAAAATTTCGAATGGTGAAGCTGACCTCAATATTGCACAGGACATCGTGAAAGAAGGCATAAGCATGACAAAACCGTGTCATGTTTACATTTCCCGAGTACGGGAAAAACCAACTATGACGTCACATGTAAGCTAAATAAGCGAAATAAGATATACCTACATAAGATTTCCGTCATCAGCAATGCAAAAATAATTTTTGCGTTCCCCGTTTCTCAGAATATTTCATCAAATACTGATTATGACCTGTTTTTACATAAAAATACCGCCCCTGTATTCACCGAGTATGATCTTGCTGTACTAACAGATCGTGTATGACGTCACCGACTTTTTGGACGCGCAGTTTAGGGAAACAGAGGAGTGGATCAAACAATTTCATAATTTGTTAATGTTTACAAGAATGTTAAAACTTTTTATTTTTTATACATAAGATGGTAATCAAAGTAAACAAATTGTCAAAAATTAATACAAGAACTGATGCTTTACACGTTTTGCACTTATATAAACGGAGACTATGACGTAGTTAAACAGAGTCATGTGACCATGTGTCCTTCATCCCCTTAATGCAGACTAAAAACTTTAATCTTGGCCATAATTTTTGAATAATTCAACTTTTTTTTTTTGATGGACAGACAAGACAGGACATAGAGACGAGACAGTTGCAATATGCCATAAATAATGTGCATCACAACCACAAAAACACCAACAGTAGGGACCACATTTCTTGGAATCAAAATTGAAAGGCAGTTATATTACTTTTAGCTAAGTTAACCACTTTATATAGCACTTATAATCATGGCAATAAATAATAGAGAGATCAAGCATTTGACCGTTTGCATCTACGTGTACGTGTAAACCTAGAAGTGTTTAGTACTCGTAACTAACATCGTGTTCTGTTTAACAAACTGTACGTGTACCGGTACGTGTAAAATGTCATTTCAACAAGTCACTTTACAATCCATTTTTACCAAATAATTATATGACTTTGATTAAAAAAAACATAGATGTACGTAATAAACTCTCAACATCACAACAAACAGCACCGGAAAAATGTATATGAATTCCATAATTCGAGTTTAATAGAAGCTACACGTTCTTTGCTCCGTGTACTTATGAATCTACAAAACTGATGACGTAAGTCGCAGTAAATTAGGGGATTTTCCTAGCTACTCGTAGACGTACACGGTCACGGATAAACAGGAAGCTGACATCGGATTTGTAAAAAAATAAATCCCACCATATGGCATGCCTAAACAAATAGTATGCTAAAATTTCAAGTATCTTCAATGAGTAGTTGCTGAGAAAAGTGCGAGCAAAATTTGTTACGGACAGACGGACGGACAGACAGACACACAGGGGTAAAAGAGTATACCCCCCTCGCCTTCGGAGCAGGGTATAATAAATCTGGTATTCTTAATATCTCAAGCAGCTGTCCCTCACTGGAAGATGATCTAGCATGTATTGGACTTTCACCTGCATTCCTTCAAACAATGCTTTACATTTCATACCAGTATTCTAGGAAGTGGCGATTTACGCTCAATGCCCAAAAATCTTGCATCTTAAGATTTCGAGCGAAAATGGTAAAAGTAGACTCCGACTATGTATGGTATCTGGGAAATGATATCATTCCTTGTTTGGACAACTGCAACCATCTTGGCATTCTCATCAATAATAAATGCAACCTTTCAGATAGGATAATCTCTGCGTGCCGAAAAGGGAAAAATTCATATTTCCCTCTTGATGATATTGGATCTCGATACCTAAACCCTCCAACACTCTCACATCTTTACAAATCAGTTGTTTTACCATCGGTACTTTATGGTTGTGAATTATAGAATTACATATCCTCAAATGATTTACATCGCTTGGATGTTTTCCAACATTTAGTGGTCAAAAATGCCCAAAATCTTCCTACAAGAATGACATTTGTGAAAACCTTTTTCAAGTTCTTCCGATACAAGCTGAGATTGATACAAGGAAGCTACTATTTCTTGACCGACTGTGTCGCCTGGAATTCAAAACTCTGTCAAAGAAAATATTCTTAAGAAGGCTTTTTTTCATACTTTGAGGGAATCGCTCAAAAACAGCTAGGCTTTATTTCTGATATTTTGAATTTGTTATGTATTTAAAGCCACTGTGAATATATGAAGGAGTGGCTTTCGGTTGGAGTATTTCCGTCAAAATCATCTTGGAAACGGATCTTGAGATCAGCAACCTTTCAATACAATAAACTCCAGAGGGATAATGGCATGTCAGGTGATTCAGCAATCTGATTAAAATCAGATCCTTTGATCCGCTCACATAGATCGCTACACAAGGATCTCCTTGTCAGATTGAGTGATTCAGGATTCGACCGTTTCCGTAATGTATTTCAGGAAAGTAACCCTGCGTTGTTTTAGCGACTACCTTCCAACTGTTACGAAATTTCTCTATGCAAGTTCATCTACAAGTTGGTGTCAGAATCTCCTCGATAACTATCGAAATTTGCTCCCTGTGTGGTGCTACATATTTTGATCTATTGAACCATGTGTCTTGCTCATGCCGCTTCACATATGATATTCGTAATTAGTGTTGGGAGGATATAACCAACTTCTTTGATATTCGCTTGTGTGCTGAATTATGTGCCCTAACAGATGACGAACTGTACCAGATTCTACTAGGCCGCAAGACGAGCACCATTCTTTCCGCCTCCCAACTCCGGAACTTCCAGTTGTGAAACTTTCGTCTTGTTTGCGACGCCTGTGCATACTACAAGCGTAGTCTTTCGGTACTGTAGATCTGCCAGTGAGGGATGCCTCCCAATTCCCAAAACCTCCTTTTTTCAGTCTCCCCATTTTATATCTGTGATCCTTTTGTGATATCACATTGAAACATTTGGATATTATGTGCATATGCAAATAACGGCCACTAGCTTGTGGTCGCAACCTTTGTAAATATTTCATTTTTCTATAAATGTACACAGTACATTCATTTCACTTTCTCTTGAGTACGAATATGATATGTATTTTCACTATTTTGCATATTTTTTGTATAATGTTCATTAATCACTGTAAAGTGGAAATAAAGTATGAATGAATGAATGAATGTACATGTATATTAAAGTTCTCAATCTCAAACTTATAAGTCATGTGTCTTTTGACGATTTATAAAGATTAAGGAACTCAGGCACGGATCCAGGAATTTTTTTCCAGGGCGGGTCCACCCCAGTCAAAATAAAATTTCCAAACCAAAAATTTCTTGACAAGCGGAAAAAAAAAACTAATTTCCCTTCCTTATCCAGAAAATTACCTGATAAACCAAAAAAAAAATAAATAAATAAAATTAAAAAAAAAACAACAACGTGAAATCCATTCCCCAAACGTGAAAAACGCCTATTTCGTAGTGGTGATGGTGAGTACAAGTTTTCTGGGGGGGGGGGGGGTCCAAAGTCATATTTTATTTGCTTCAGTATATACTTTTAATACCTATGCAAATCCCCCCTTCTAGACTGAAGATTTACTGATTTTCGATAATGAGTTTATGGATATCGTGGGAACACATATATAATCAAAGTACTGTGAGTACTGATAGACGGTGGCATGAATGATTTTGTTTGATTGTTTGTTTGTTTTAATTAAAACGTCCCTCTCGGGAATTTTTCACTCATAATGAGACGCCACCATTGCCATTGGTGGGCTGCAAATTTTATATCTATACTCAGCACTCAGGGCCATTGTGCAGTGAGGGATCTTTTTTTCTGGCCAGCACTTACTGCGACACGGGACCTCAGTTTAACGGTCTCATCCGAAGGAACGGTCTCCACATCCCGCAGTGGGATTCGAACCCGCGACCTAAGGATCGACTCCTTACTCCTTGACTCTAGAGCAAACGCTCTAATTACTGGCCATTGACATGAATGAATGAAATATATGGAGATAACGAACAGTATTCAAGCTCAGAAGTCCATTATACAATACAAAATAGGAGCAGAGCAAACACGGACCTCCAAACATCAGAGGTGGGATCAGGTGCCATGGAGGAGTGAGCATCCCCTGCCGACCGGTCACACCCGCCGTGTGCTCCTTGTCATGATCGGGAAATAACGGAAAAATCCGTCGACAATTCAGTGTGTAAATAATGGTCTAACAATTAGTATGAAAAACGTCAGTCAGCATTTGACTCAATGATAAATTGTATTTGCTGACAAGGTCATTGTATCGACCATAGAACTTACGAAATGGTGACTTTAAACGAGACAGCTGATATTCTTGTTTCATCAACTTATTTGTCAATAATTTACCTCGTTTTAGAAATTGTACACACGTAGAACATGCTCTTGCGTATCGAATCAACTGAGAGATATATACTCCGTATGCAGGTGATGAAGGTATATTGCTGCATAAGTAAGGGAAGTTGACGATTGAAAAGTTAAAGTCATCACGTTCATCATGAAGCTTGGTTGTTAGATTACCATTAACGTCTTTTTCAAGTAAAATATCCAAATATGAAACAGATGTGTCAGACTCTGTAGTATCTTTTATCTCAAGTTCACCAGGATATATCGTATCGACATAAGAATGAAAATAGCCATTGTTAATTGACAATACGTCGTCGATATATCTAAATGTTTTAAATGAAATAAAATGATATGAGAATCTGTAAAATGATATGGAAATTATGAAAGTTTGTTGCAATGTTTCACAATACATGTATTTGATGAGTTATTTTATATTTGCGTCAGTATGATGAGGACATGTATTAATTGAAGTTGTTAAACAATTTATTGCATGAAATTTTCTACATTTATTTAGTTTTATTATGAAATAATGTTTGAAGAAAAAAAATGCGCTGAGATGCAAGAAACGAAAGCTTGATCATTTCAATCTTTTTTTTTCATTAATTAATCCTTAAAACAATTCATTTTACCCTAAATGTTAAATTAAGGGAATCAAAGGTTCTATTATATTCATGTAGTGACCGAACATGTTTATTTTAAGATAGCTTTCTCTACATGCATGTGTGGTTCCATTTAGGCGCTCTTCCAAGTTAGATGTGCGGTTTTTTTTAGCAGAAATGTGTTTGAGATATTTGAGGAACAATTAATAAACCTATTGTGAGTTGCAGATATGAGCGAGTATCAGTAAATTCCGAATTCATTGTACCTTCTTCGCATAATTTGAAAATAATCTTATCAGAATGCATTTCAGTGATATCAAGTATCAAATGAAAAAGTTAAATTTTACAACAAAAAGTGTCATGAAATCGTGGTGTTTTGAAGTTAGAAATTGTGATTTTATAATTTAAAATCTTATACTCAGTGGTTAATTATCAAATTTTGCTAATCTGGAGTAAAATTGAACTCACAATATTTTTTTTTAAACAAAAACTAACTTTTCTTAAAATATATGGTAAAAAGGGAAATGATGAATCACTTTTGGCGTTGTACTGTAGATTGTGCGACATAAATCATATGCTGAAAGATAATGAAATAGACTTTATCTTTGGGTCCCCATTTTTGCCAAATTTCCACATGTAGGAGAAGACTGACCTAAATTAAGTCAACTGAATTCGCAAGAAAATCCTAATATTTCATGTACATGCTTTTGTGTAGCTTTTTTCTTACACTTTTTAAGGGGTAAATTTTATTCGAGGCACGATAGAATTTTCAAATACAAATGAAATATATGGGTAACTTTTATTCGTCACAGTCTTATAATTATAGCTTTGATAAATTAGCATCCTTTCAGTAGTTTTTGTGTCCGAGATAATTAGGCAATGACTTTTGTTTTTAGATAGAACCGAAATTAACTTTGCAAAAAGGCATCTTATCTGCCTTCAACAACTCTCTTTTATGTGAACTTTAAGAGGACGTGATTTTTTTTTTTTTTTACATTCCGAAATGAAATATATGGAGATAACGAACAGTATTCAAGCTCAAAAGTCCATTAAACAATACAAAACAGGAGCAGAGTAAACACGGACCTCCAAACAAAATATATCTTTTTCTAATATAGTATCGTCAACAGATACTAGAAATTCCATTAATCAAAAGACACCGTAAAAATTCAATAAACTGTATAAGTATTATTGTATAAAAAATCCACAAAACGTCTCAAATAAAACATGCAGTTCTGCAACAAGGAATACGCAGTCCTCGAATCATGTTAACTGAATTTTCGGAAATGGAGAAATTTGGGGATCGACGCTTTCCAAGCATGGAGTATCTCGTAATTAGGGAATACCAAATTGGGAGCATCTCGTAATAAGCGTTTGTCACACATCCAACAGCGAATTAAGAAACCGCCGAGAGTGTGTTGGTTTAACAATAGTTATTTTATTTCTTAAGATGGTAAGGTGTAATGTGAAACCATTATCCATAAATATTTTCCCCCAGATTTTTTTTTTTACTCTTAATAAATTTTATTGAAATTTTACATTTACACAACGTAAAAAAGGATGTGTATACGAACTAACTTTTTGCATTTGTTTCATGTTCAGCAAACTTTATGTACGAATTGACTTTTGTGGTTAGCATACAAATTGACTCCTTATATACGAATCAGTTTTTGTACGAATTAACGTTAAGTCGGCGTAGTTTAATGAATATTCATAAGGCGAGAAATATTAAAACGGCAAATATCAGGAATTAAACTTTGCGCTCATCAACAAAATGTCATTGAAATAACTTGAGAACCATGTACATTTTATTTTCGAACATCGAAACGACCCCACTTTCGTTATTTTGTCTCTGCAAAAATCGCCGCTAGGGTCCCCGTGATTTTACACTGTTGTTTATTCATAGCCCAGACCAGCAGCAATAGCCTGTGGCTATAAATAGCCACCGTCTAAAAATTGCCTTTGCCGCAGGATTCAAAGTGTTCACTACATGGCATGTTTCTTATGGTTGGGTCCTTAATCTGTTGCTTATGCACCCGGCAAATTTGGTTCCGGTTTGTCCTATATAATTTTCCTCACATGTAGGGCATGACATACAATATATAAGGTTTTTTGATTTACACCTCATAGATGATTTTACGTCGAACTTCATTCCATTTTTAAAAATCATGGATTGGCCGGTTTGTTGGACTTGAGAGGTTTCGCATCGAGGATCATCGCACCTTGAAACTTTTGGTTTTTCCGGGTTTGATGTAAATTTGGCTGTAGTAAGAATTTTTTTTCAAATGCAAATTCAAATTACGTGGTTGACGTCTGGTATGTAGTATATCCTTGGGTTTGATAAGGTCCCTTAATGTTTCTGATTGTTGAAGAATAGGGAAATATTGCTTGGCGGTTTTAAATATGTTGTGATTTCTTGGGTTGTGAGTAAGAATAAAAGGGATCTTTTCGTTACTTTCCTCCTCATGCTGTCGAATAGTTCGTAATTTATTGATGGGTGTTTCCTTCGCTTTTTGTATAGCAGCTTCAATTAAGTTTGATGGGTATTTTTGTCTGGACAGAAATATTCTAAGTTCAGATAGTCTTGTATTTCTGCGTTCCCCAACTATAACAATAGTACAAATTCTCCGGGCCATATTAAATGAGATGTTTCGTTTGATATGGGAGGGATGGCATGAGTTGAAAATCAAATATTGATGGGAATCTGTGCTCTTTTAGTAGAGATCCGTTATGATTTTTCTTCCCTCTTTTATAATAAAAATGTCTAAAAATGGCAATTTGTTTTCGTTGATTTCCATTGTAAAATGCAAACTTTCATTCAGCCGATTTAAAATGTTGCTAAAATGTTGTAGATCTTGTAGAGATTTCGTCCCAAAAAATAAAAGACTCATCTAAATAACGTTTCCAGTTTCTTTCAATGTATAGACCGAATTCTTCTCCAAAAAATGTTTTGCATTCAGAAAAAAAGTTTTTCCTCCAGAAAGCCTAGAACTAGGGTTGCGTAAGTAGATGCGACTTTTGTTCCCATTGCTGTCCCTTTTGTTTGTAGAAAAAACTTGTCATCAATAAAGAAATGATTATTTTGTAAAACTATTTATAATCCTTCAAGGATAAATTCTTTAGAAAATCTCGGCTGGATTACATCTGGATGCTTGTCAATCCAAAAGGAAGTGGCTTCTATCCCTAAGTTGTGAGGAATATTTGTGTATAATTTAATTTTGTTTGTATTCTAGCCTCTGATTGGTTAATATCCAAAAAGGAACACAAATTATTTCTGTATAACCTGGTTTGGTATAGGGACATACCCCCCTGACAACCAGCTGAATCATCTATATTGCATACAATCCTCTCATTTCCAGTCCTCGGGATTCATGGAAAATTCCAGATTTAATAAATATACCTTTAACTTCAAAAAATAATTCGATCTTACCACATGTAAACAAGCTGCTAGGCCTATGTATATCAGTTTTTACCTCCCCTCGCTTCCCATCACTTCTGTTACTTCCGTTACTACGGTTGTATTATTGAGCGGCAAATTTGAACTAATAAAAAGCAACGAAATTTTACACCCATAGATTATAAAACAGCGTAAACTGACCCAAACCAGGTTATACTCGAATAATTTGGCCAAGAATTAGAGTCATTCCTAAAATAAACTTGTGACATCAAAACTCACCAACTTCGTATTTTCTTCGTTTTATGGAATATGGTTGAGGAAATCCATGTCGTCCCGAATAAAACTGGGTACTAATGTGCAGATAGGTTTAAGTAGAATATCTAGGAAATTACTTAACCTTTGCGTTGGACAAGAAGGGCCATCTACAATAGGGCGCAGTTTTAAGTCTGTTGGACGTCGTAATTTAATATAAGCTTCACTCATTTCCTGTAATCCATTTTGAATTTGTTTAGACTTGTGAATTTTCGGTAGTCCGTAAAAGTTACTAGTTTTTACCTCAAAATTCAGAAGAAAATCTACCTCTTTTGCTGTTAAATTGTTGGCAAATTTTGAAGTATACTTCTTTATTGTAAACATGGTTTTTTTGTTTTTTTTGTTTTTTTTTTTTTGGTCTTCATTTGAAGGTAATTCTTGATAAAAATTTGCATTCATCTAATTGTTCTAGAACCATTTCTTTGTAATGTTCTTTAGCCATGATAACAATAGTTCCTACTTTGTAAGCCTCCTTTACGATAATGGTATCGTCACTAGTTATATTTTTTAATGCTGTTCTCTCAATTTTTGAGATGTTATCTCGCACACGGATATCACTATATATATATATATATATATATATATATATATATATATATATATATATATATATATATATATATATATATATATATATATATATATATATATAAATATATATATATATTCTGGTAAATTACAACAAATCAATCCTCAAAATTCTGATAATTTTATTTAAGTATGTACAAATATAAATGAAAAAAAAAATCAATAAACAATGTTTAATACTGGTAGTGGTAATACAACAGTGTCATAAGAAATAGTCTATTGTTCAATATAATACTGCTTATCGAATCATGGCCCAATTAACTTGTTCCAATCCTTTCTTCTTTTCAAGACCGTGTATTGATGCTGGAAAATTTGTAAAATATCTTTAGTAAATCTAGCATATATATATATATATATATATATATATATATATATATATATATATATATATATATATATATATATATATATATTAGGGATGTCAACGAGTATCCGGTTAACCGGGTACTCGATCGAACGTCCGAGTACCGAATACTAAAAATGGTACTCGGTTACTCGGAAGTGTATTTTTTCTTATTTCAAAGTACATATTTTTATCAAAAACGTATCAAAAAATAACTTAATTAAATATGCATACGGTAGTTAGCGTGTCGTCATCTACACCTGTGAAACACCCGTTCTTGCCTGTGGCTGTGTATATTTACAGTAATTAGTGACCAATCACCCAGCTCACCTATTGTGGTCCTTAATTTTTGGATGGCTTTAATGATTGGTCTATTATCTTTAAATCATTTTTAAATTATTTAATTAATGTACGGCAGCGAAATCGGACATGCATAGAAATGCCGCTACCCACTTCAAAAGTGAAGAAATATTTAGAAATAAAGATTAAAAAATGTTGAAAGTCAGTTTCCGTAGTAAGTTTAGTGTATATGGGGGGAACAACCAACATATGAAAAAAAAATAGTAGACTAGCGATCCCAACAACGTCCGGGTTTATGGCACAACACTTTCTTATTACTTATACATTGTATTAACCTTTGTAGGTATAATTTTTAGACGACTGATTCAGAGGTCACTTGTATTTATCGCGTTGATCGTAATTTCGCACAAAGTTGTGACATGCAGAAGAAATATTGCGTTTTAATTAATGTCTATCTACATGTCAGGAAGATAGGAATTTCGGCTCAGGTGAGCTAAAAAGTATATTTAAAATTAGATAGAACTGTCAGTGATTGGTCACTTGTTAGGTCATCTCAGGTAATGACCGGAAACGTGTGAAATACAACAAGAGGCCCAACGGCCTTAACAGTCACCTGAGTATAATACAACATTATAAAGAACCCACAGAAGTATAAAACAAAATTAACTAATAGATGAAGCTATGCTGCCCAAGAATTTCAAAAATCTTGTAAAAATAACCTTGCTTATTGTAATGGGTGAGACCCAAGTGATCTCCTTGGATTGTACATGATTTTTCCAAGTCTTACAGGGATGATAAGGAATGCAAGATATAAAAATACAACGGACACTTGCCTAGAGTGTGTAAAGCAATAATATATAGAGATATGTTTTTGTCACTTGTCTATCAAAAAGAAAAATCTCTAATGCCTGTATATTTACTCTAGGTGATGCCTCTTGACTACACAAACAACTTACCTGCTTGCCACTTGGCGACACTTGTTACCAGCACTCGCCACTTGGCTATACAGTGTGACTATTTGCCACTTGTCAGTAACTACAACATGTCCCCTAGTCACCCTGGCTCCTTTAGTTTGTTTGCTTAATACCAAGGAACAGAGCAGAAGATTTTCAAAGCATTAATTCATTTTCAGTATATAATAAATAAGCCCCCCTCTCAACGAAACTCCTTACACAGGATCATGAAATTCACAATTCCTCATCATAACTATGTACTTAGTTCATCGGCTTAATGCCCAGGTGCAGAGGAGAAAATTTTCAAAGAATTAATGCATTTTCACTATATATTCAATAGAGCCCCGCCCTTACACCGGAATCCCTGACCTTGGGGCCATGAAATTTATAATTTTGGAAAAAACATCCTTCTTCATTATAACTATGTACTTAGTTTATCGGCTTTATACCCAGGAACATAGGAGAAGATTCTCAAAGAATTAATGCATTTTCAGTTTATAATTATTTGAGCCCCGCCCTAACACCAGAACCCCTGACCCTGGGGCCATGAAATTCACAATTTTGGAAGAGGCACCTTTCCTCATCATAACTATGCATTTAGTTTAGTTTGCTTAATACCCAGGAGCAGAGGAGATGATTTTTAAAGAAATAATGTATTTTCACTATATATTCAACACAGCCCCGCCCTTGCACCAGAACCCCTCACCATGGGGCCTTGGATTTGACAATTTTAGTAGAGGGCTCAATGCTTACTACAATTATGCCAACAGTTTGACTGCTTGATGTCCAGGAGTAAAGAAGATTTTTATAGATTGCATTGATTTTGATGGTTTTAGCCCCACCCCTCATGCCCCCAGGGGGCAGGGGCCATGAATTTCACAATTTTATTCTTCTTAACCCATAAATGATATATGCCAAAATTGGCTGAAATTGGTTCAGCGGTTCCAGAGAAGAAGTTGAGAATGTTCAAATGTTAACGCACGACACACGATGCACGACGACGGACGAAAACAGATAGCAATAGGTCACCCGAGTAAACACAGGTGACCCAAAAGTATAAATGTCACATAAATTAACTACTCAACCACACAGGCAAACATCACAAACAAACGCAGCAAACGTGTTCGATTAACAATGCGCATTAATCAAACTGAAATCCATACATAATAACCTTGACATATTCATAACATGTCGACCAACTTTTCCGTTTTTAAATTATTGGCACGTACATCATTAAAGGGCAAAAACGTAGATTCAAAATAGCTGAATTTATATGGTGGTGCTTGGTAAATATATTTATTTCATATATGTATATTTTCTATTATGTTTCATATTTAAAGTAAAGCCACTAAATATTGTATTGTCTAATAATAATTACGACCATCGTCGAATACCCACGGGTGATCTCGTCTTTTACTCATCACCCGAGTGATGAGTTAAAAACGAGATCACCAATGGGTATCCGACGATGAATTACGACTTTTGTTAGATTTTCTTAAATAGATACAATTCGTATACCGGTAATGAGCATTGCGTCCCATGAAGATCTTGCTATCTGAGTCTGTCCTTTTGTCAGGTCTGGGCGGCCTCGGGTTTTGGAGGATAGCTAGATTCAATATGGCGGCCAAATTTTTTACCATATATGGAAACCGCATTGCATTGTGGGATAGTTTATCCTCCGATTTCAGAGGATAACACAAGTAATTTTCAAACGCCTCGTGCCTACCTTTAATCAAAAAGTGCAAGCACCAGACTACATGTAAACAAAAGTTCAAACATTAAACTAGATGTTTGTAAGGGGCGATTTGAGATTCTATGTCTAGAATTTTTACAATACGCTTTCAAAGTTGGCACTTCTTGCGCTCTATTTTTACTTAATATTTCTTGTATTTTGTTTTATTATCATGTTTTTCTCTATTAAGACAAATAAATAGGGACTTAAATAATATTACTTTCGTGTTTTCTTTTACTTTAAAAATAGAGAAAAAAAGGAAATACAGAAGGAAACGTATTTTAAACACAATATATATATGCTCTCCTTATAATTGAAGCAAATAAAATAGTTAAAGGATTTGATAAATAATTATATATTAAAATATGATTTTATAAAATCAACAAATTATTTAATTGCATAAATAAATAAAGAAGATAATTTAACATATTTACTAAGAAATTAACATATTTATATACATGTACAATGTATATATAAATTTAAAAAAATACAAATGTGATGTGTTTAAGGATTATTCATTCAATGAAATAATAATTGAATTTTCAAAAAAAAAATTGTTTATCAAAATTTGTAAACTGCTTAACACATAATTACGGTACCAGAAAATCAGTTATAGTTATAAGTATTGTCTCAGACTCTCAGAGATTAGACTATGTAAGAAATGTCAATTAAATGAAATAGGAGATGAATTCCATTACATATTAAATTGTACGGCAATGACACGTGAAAGAAATAAATGTTTAACACAAAAACAATTACGATTCAAAAATACAATTACATTTAGAGAAATAATGAATTCAGATAAACAGTCATTTTTAAGAAAACTGTGTATATTTATTAAAAAAATTACTAAAACGTGCTCCCCAAACTAGTAAAGACCTAAACTTATAATTGTACTATTTGTCTATCCTCATACTCACGCATGCCATATGTGTTTTTATTTTTCATCATTGTAGTTTACATTTATATCTCGCTATACAATTGTAAAATTGTGAAGAGATCAATAAATTCAGTTCAGTTCAGTTCAGACAGGTAAGGCCGGGTAATCATTGCTAACTAAGCCTCTAACTGAATAAGTGATTGACAGCAATTACAAAAATAATGTTATATAGATTTTATATATTTATCCATCATCATATGAAAGTTTACCTTTTATTTGTTTTGGTTGTTTCAAGTTTCAAGTTTTTATTTAAGACAAAGACCCCAACTGGGGTATATGAATGCAAATGATACAACAAAATAACACACAAGCATGAAATGAGTGGCACTAATGTTAATTACTATATACATGTATAGTTCAAAACATCAAAGTATAGAAGGCCTCTGTTAGTACATGTATTAAATAAATCATTACAACATATTTTAAACAGTTGTTTTGTTATTCTTAATTTATTACTGACAATAAAATTTTCCAAAATTTGGCAAGTCCAAAAATGACTTTAGCGTCCTTACAGTTTAAGAACCCTCTCTACACTGCACACTAAAGAGTTCTGATTCTATGGTATTTTTCTGCAATTAGAGTGATCTGCTCTTAGATCTAAATTCCAATAAATAGCAATTTACATTATATTACTCAGTTTGTAATCAATACAAGTATTCTTAACATTTTAAAAGGCCAAGATAAATTAATTGAACACGTTATTTACATGTATTTTCTTCATGGAAGTAAACAACTGTGATTTCTGTTCACTGATAATGTGTTGTGTTTGAACATTTTTCCAGGGGGTAAATGCCACGTACCATATATCAAAAATCAAATAAATAAGCTCAATATTTACACTTTTATTAAGTATAATTTTCTCGATGTCCAAAAAACATTTTGCACTGGTGTAGAGAGGGTCCTTAACAGGTCATGAAATTTAAATCACATTAGGGTTAGCATAAAAAATATTTGGAACAATTTTTTTCGTTCTCTTTTGAAAAAAGCACATTCTAAAAGATAGTGGAATTCATCTCCTAAATTGTTACAGGAACAAAGATCACAAATTCGATCATCTCTGTCAACACCCCAAAAGCGACCCTTCTCAATTGGAAATCTGTTATTCATACATCTAAATTTACATAAAGCTTTTCTCAGATCTTTTGGAAGATAAATCAAATATTTTTCAAAACAATGTTCTAATTTAAATAACCTTTAATTAAGGGTTTTTGGCATATCAAAAATACTGGTTGAAAAATCAGTGAATGACATAAATGCAAGAGTTGCTGTTATTTGCTTGTTAAGAGTTAACTGCCCTTTGTTTTGAAAAGTCTGGTAGGTGGCAACACCTCTATCCTCTGTTTTAGAGGATGAAATCTATCCTCCAAAAACGGAGGCCGCTGAGACCTGTTTGTGCAAAATGGAAGTGACGTAATTTGTATCGAGATCGATGTCGAATGCTGCCTTGATTTACAGATATGCTCTTTTGAGAGGGGATGCTCCGCTTTGCGGTGCACTTGTTTTTATCATGTCTAGAAAAGTAAATACTGTATTCAAACTTACAAAGGGAAGTCAATGTTAGAATAAAATTGCAAAATTAAATCAGATTGAAAACACACAAACAGACATGCGGGTACATTACTAGTATATCTCATGCAGACATTCAGAAGTACTTCATTTTGTTATGTGAGGCAACCCACATACACACAGGACTATATAATCATATCGAGGCAGCAAAATGAGTTAGTTTATTATCATGTATCAAAATAATAAAATTAATTCAAACTTGGTTTAGTTACCCCTTAATCCATGATGGCGGGTTGCTCTATTGCTGGAAGAACTAGTGAAACAGAGAAGGAATGTGTCGATTTGTTTTCAGCCAGTATTAAGTCTTCAAATTTCAGAGAAAGTATAAGTGTAACAAGTACCACCCACAGTGATCAAAGACATACTTAATTTATGTTGTCCTTTATTTATCTGTTGTGGAAAAAGTGAAGAAAAATATTGAAATCAAGAGCTCTTACCATCTGGTCTGCCATCTCGGTTTTGTGACACGGACAGACTTCTACTTAGAGGTCGTCTTTGACGGCCTTCCGGTTTCATTAAATGCCCCCCGGGCACATCATCGATCTTTATGCTATCTTCGTAAGCAACTTGACCTATCATAATTTCAATAACTGTTTATTAGGCCTTATTACCCCCTAAATAATGACCTGAATTCAACTCAAATATGTAACTATTATTTTTTTGAGGTCCTAAAAATCTGTGGGAAAAATATATTTTGAGATGCAATAAACATATGATGTCTTTTTTAAAGCAGTATATTCAAAATGGTGAAGAATTTAAAAATGGTTAGGAAAGTCATTAATATATCCTCAAGGAACCTTTTTCGTTGGTAATAAGCATTCAATTACAAAATTTTCCTCACAAGTACAATTGAATAGGGAATTAATGCAGTTTTGCTTTAAAGGTTCCTATAATTTATTCAAATATTACCAAAAATAATGACGAATAGATATTTTTCTCCAAATATATGACATTCTGTTTTGGGCATGTGCAAATAGATGAGGTACCTAAATCAGTGGTATGATGCTTTTCAAAGGTTTCTACCTGCATAAGTTCAGTGCCAAACAAACAAATGATTTAGAAATAATGGAATTGAACACAGCAATAGATTTACAGAATATTTTTAACAGGTATATATGTTTATATTGAAAGTGATGAACGAAATGTTCATCATATCGAAGTAGAGCAGCCATGGGTCCAGTGGTTACCCTGTTCTTACAGCCAAACTAAGTTAACATGACAACACCAACTTTGGGCAAAAATCCTGATTACAGTCCAAACATTCTCTTTTTAATCTTTTCCATCTGATTTGAAATATTTTTCAGTTTAATTATGTATTTATTGTAAATTTATTTACTATCTAAATGCAACTAGCCATTAAAAATATACACATAGATCATATAGCAGACATGAACTTTTTGGAGTCCCCTTAAATTTTAAATTTCTTTGATTATCAAATGACAATTGCTTAACTTTTTTGTACAGAGGTTAAATTTTTGTTTAGATTTTGTTTTTGATGAAATATGAAGATACTCTCAACAAATTTAACTTTAATTGGTAATATCAGTCTTTTTTTTTTTACCTTTCAAAATTGAGTATGTTTCAAAGTTAATCAAACACTGTTGTATTTACATGTTTTTTCATAAGGATATTTTTACTTTTATATTACATACTATAAGCTACTGCGTTACCTTACATTATTCATATATTGATTAAGCCAGATCTCCCAATATAACAGAAATCACCAGCTTAAAAGGAGATACCACCGATTTAGTACCCCATTAATTTAGGAACCTCCGCACTATATAATATAAAAGATTTATTGCCAAAAGGTCGATGAATTAAAGACCAATTTTCAACAGTCCGGAGACCGTCAGCCGATTTTTGGAACCCCTACCAATACATAAACCTACCATCAACAAACACAATACGACGCCCTCCGGCTTGCAGCACTTCCTTAACGTGTCGCCAAGATCCACCTGCTCGCCCCTGTCTTAGTCTGTTTGAAAAAAAAAAGTTTTTGAAAATAAATTAAGCTCTAGAGGAAACAGAATGTATGTACTTGAATATGTGAGAGCAAACTTTTTTTTTAAATGGCTACTTTGGAGGACCAAAAACTGGAAAATGCTTGTTGGGAAACTGCTGACTGATTTGCTGGTAAGATTTGTGGAAATCGTCATATCCATTGTTTGTGGAATAGCGTAGATGTGGAGGGATAGATTCGTCCATCTAAAATTACAAAGAAATTTCATTCTGTACAGTCTATCCATAATCCATGTAATCCATGCATGCATTTAAAGTAGAGTAGAGCTCTTTTATGAGGATTAATATCCTCACAAACAAAAATGTGACAACGATACTATTATACTGTATAAAAGAAATTAGTAATTAAACAATTACATTTGGCCAAATGCACTAACGGTAATGCATATCTGACACTAACATTCATATAATACCATTATCTGTATGACTTTGCACTTGTCCAAATGACCCTGCTTTACAATCATTTTATATCCTTCAGAACATAAGCAAAATATCTTGACAATTCAACTAGGAGTTTCTGAAGTTAGAATTTTACTCTTGGTTCCTATGATCTCGGCTTAATGTGATACAGTTATGGTTAACTTAAACAATGTGTAAACCTCTCCAGCATGAACCCGTGTCGGGTCTTACCGCTGCTAGCTGGGCCGCATCTGGATTGTAGGGACTAGGTGCACCATCTGAATTGATCATTCTGGATCTTCTGCCATAAACATTTCCTGCACTGTGTTTGGCTGGAAAATCAGGTTGTGAAACATACCCCTCCATCGGACTCAATGATTTCTTTCCTAACTGCAGCATCCACTGTGACATTAATGCATAGCTCGTCCTAAAATGTGTAGTGAAATCATACATAATACATGTACTTGTGTTTATTACCGTTTTTCTACCAACAGATGGTGTACTGATAGGACCACTTGTTTCCTAGATTCCTTCTCCTTTTGGCAAGTCAAAGAGAACAAAGGCACATTTTAGACTAGCTTTCACCTAGGTCAATGTAGCAAGAACACGAGGGTGACAATCCATTGACAATAGAGAAGTATAGAGCCAATGTGGGCGAAACAGACTTGTGGAGTGAAGATTAACTGACAGATTGAATAGACCATAAAAATAAGATGTGCATTCAGCAAGAATGCTTTAAAGGAGAAAAAGATCTACTGGAACAAAAAGTCGAACTATTATCAATAATATTGTAACGGGGTGTATTTTCTTTCCTGGCAAAGCATATCAAACTGAGCAAAAGAGGGATTTTTGTGGAACACAGAGGCTGAAACTTTAACAGCTTAAAAATCCCTAACTAACGACACAGTCTTCAATATCTATGCTATTTCCTTTAACTGATTACCAATTAATTCTTAATTCTATGTCTCTCTGCTGTTCAAAAATCTTTTGGCAATTCCTCTATACTTTTAGATTATTACAATTTCGTGTCCAAAGAAGTTACTAAAATTTTATTTATCCTCAGCATCTCGAAAGCCAGTTCTTAAACACCCCTTTCCCCCATTTTGTTGGGGAAAAACCTTTAATCCTAGAAAACATCATGAATCTCTTTGTTGAAATGAGATACAAATTTAAGCTCACCAGAACCGATGGTTAAGGTACGCTTATCTGATCACCTGTCATCCATCGTCTGTCTTTCTGTTCGTTCATCAATTGGTTAACTTTTCACATTTTCGAGTTCTCAGGAATCATCGGCATGACCAATTTTTGCCAAACGTATCATAAAGCATCCTTGTGTTAAACAGGAAACAAATTCTTTAAATTTGGAACATACCCTCTCTAAAGGGGAAATAAGAAAAGGCAAAAAAAGTGTGTGTCTTAAAAATTTGTCTAAAAAACCACTGGGCTAGATGTAAAAGCATCTTGGTATGTATAGATTCAAATTTGTTCAAATCATAGTCCGGGGTAGGGTTGGGCCACAGTATGGGATCAAAATTTTACACTATAATATTGATATAGGAAAAAATCTTGATTTTTTTTCTTCCAAAAACAGGAGGGCCATGAGTAGAGTCATATTAATATGCAAACATCATCAGAAAGTGCAGTTTTAAGTTTATTCAGATCATGGCCCCAAGGGGTTGGGTGGGGTCACATAGGAGGAGATAAAAGTTTGACATTCAAATTTGTACAAATTGTGACCACCTTCATAGGGTGAGGCCACAATAGGATCAAAGTTAAACATGGAGATACATGTTTAAGAAAAATCTGTATAAATCTTCTTCCCTGGAACAGCAAAAGCATGATTAATCTTATTAATTTCTGCAAGCATTCACATATTTGTTTATTCAAATCAGGTAGGTTGGGGCTACAATAGAAGGTCAATGATTTGCAGGGAATAAACAGGAAAAATCTTTAATAATGTTAATCTTCTCAAGACCAGCACAGCCATGAGTAATCATTTTTATGCAACTAATCTCACATACTGCAGTTTCAATTTGTTTAAATTATATATATCCGCTCACCTGGGGGGGGGGGGGGGGGGGCAAGATTTCAAAGATCTATATGGGAAGATATAATAGCAAGTTATCGATAACTTTGAAAAAAAGTTATTTATAATAGAACAGCAGGGATATGATTAGTCAAATTAATATGCAAGTCAAATTAATATGCAAATAGCATCTAATACTAATGTGTAGAATGGCCACCATAGAGGGATTTATATGGGAAGATATGATAGGAAAGTATAGATAACTTTGAAAACAAAAATTATTTAGAACAACAGGGGCATGATTTGTCAATTTAATATGCTAATCAAATTTATATGCAAACAGAATCTAATACTTATATATAGAATGGTCACCATAGAGGGTCAAAGTTTTACATGATATGAATATAAAGGAATTTAAAAAAAATCTTTTGAATCTTTCAAAAATCTTTTAAAGAGTGGCTGATTGTATGTTGTTTTACGTCCCATTCGAGAATTTTTCACTCATATAGAGACGTCACCATATACCGGTGAATGGCTTCAAATTTTGACCCCAGGGCCATTGAGCAGTGAGGGATCTTTATCGTGCCAACGCCTGCCGTGACACGGGGCCTCGGTTTTTAAGGTCTCATCCGAAGGACCCGCAACTTTCACTTCAAAGTGCCGAGAGCATGGCGAAGGAACAGTTGCTACCCATTTTTTATCGACTTTGGTCAGTCGCGGCCGAGATTCGAACTCACGACCTCCCGATCACGATGCGAGCGCTCTACCGACTGAGCTTCCGTGAACGGTTTTAAAGAGTGGCAGGGTGACAGCTAATCATTAAAGGGCGTCTGCGAAAGTTTTGCCTCAAAATCATGTTGTATGTTATTGAGAATAAATATACTTGGAAAAGATAAAACAGGTAATCAGAGATTACAGAGCTCACCTCAATAGACGTTGCCTTTAGATAAGGCAAAGTCCCACACTAAACAAATAATATAGTAGTGTACATCCCTATATGCAACATTTATGCAATTTTGGTCTGATAGGGCTTGCAGTTACTTGGGAATGGACTTACCTAAAAACTTCAAAATAGTCACTCATTCAGAAAATTTAAGTAAAATCCAGCATACCTGAAGCAAGTTTGACAGCGTTCATCCCTTGATGCATCATCCTTGCAAGTTTGGTTCAGATAGGCCTTATAGTTTATTGGTAATGGACTTGCTCCAAAAAATTTAACTTGATCACTCATCTGGAAAATATAGGTCAAATCCAGCATCTGAAACAACTCTAGTACTATGCATCCCTTGATGCATCATCCGTGCAAGTTTGGTTCAGGTAGGCCTTATAGTTTCTTGGTCATAGACTTGCTCCAAAAACTTTAACCTGTAAACTCATCTGGAAAATGTACGTCAAATCCTGCAACCAAAGCATCCCTGGTAGTGTGCATCAATAAAAGTATCATCAGTGCAAAGTTGGTAAGCATAGGGCTTATAGTCAATTTAGAAAGAAGCTGCTCCAAAAACTTTAATCTGGTCTCTCATCTGGAAAATGTACGTCAAATTCAGCATCCAAAGCAACCCTGGTAGTGTGCATCAATAAATGTACCTTCAGTGCAAGGTTTGGTTCAGGTACGACAAATAGTTACTTTAGAATGAACCTGCTCCAAACACTTTAACCTAGTCACTCATCCAGAAAATGTAGATCAGATCCAGCATTTGAAGCAAGTCCAGTAGTGTGCATCCTTAGATGTATCATCCATGCAAGTTTGGTCAACGAAGAGCTTATAATTACTTTAGAATGAACCTGCTCCAAAAACTTTAACCTGGTCACTCATCCGGAAATTGTAGGTAAGATCCAGCATCCGAAGCAAGCCTGGTAGTGTGCAATCTTAGATGTATCATCTGCAAGTTTGGTCAATATAGGTCTTATAGTTACTTGGAAATAAGACCTGCTCCAAACCTTTAACCTGCTTTAAAAACATTAACCTAGTCATTCTTATCTGGAATTGCCGCATCTGAAACCTTGACTGGTACAATGAAAAAAAAACTAGAAGCATCTTTCATGCATCTCTGATTAATATAGGGCATAGAAGTATTTGAAAAGAAACTTTAACCTAGGACGCCGAGGGTGTTACATAAGGTCCCCCAACTTCGTTGAGGTGAGCTAAAAGCTGTAGGAGAATTAGTACTTGAAAGAATATAGCAACACGGATCATCTAATTAAAAAACCGGTATACAGAAGTACTAAGTATGTATTTTTAGCGTTGTCTTCCTGCGTATCAAGTTTTATTGAAATAGGATTTTAAAAAAAATAAATAAAAAAAAAATTAATTAAGGAGTATAGCATTTTGAAATTTCTGTTTTAGTAACCATTGAGGCACCATTCATCAAAAACCGATTATATATCTTCCAGTAGTTTACTTGTGGGTCAAATTGCATTGAAATCAGACCAAAGGAAATTTAGTAGCCCTGGCAACATGGGTCACTGAAATAAAAACTTAATAAATGAATTATGAAGCTTAGTGCAGTCTAGTTGTGTACCAAGGCTTCTAAAACTGGGGAAATGTAGCATTTTGAAAGAATTTTAACGCTGGTTATTACTGTTCATCGAACTCAAACCGATAAACAGAATGACGTATCTTGGTGTTATCTACTTGTGTACCAAAATTTATTAAAACGAGCAAAATGTAGAAAGAAAAGCGTTTTGAAAAATTGTTGTCTTTAACTTTTCAATCGTCAACTTCACTTACTTATGCAGCAATATACCCTCATCACCTGCATATGGGGTGTATATCTCTCAGTTGATTCGATACGCAAGAGCATTCTCTACGTATGAACAATTTATAAAACGAGGTAAGTTATTGACAAACAAGTCCATGAAACAAGAATATCAACAGTCTCGTTTAAAGTCATCATTTCGTAAGTTCTATGGTCGATACAATGACCTTGTCAGCAAACACGATCTATCATTAAGTCATATGCTGACTGACGTTTTTCATACTAATTGTTAGGCCATTATTTACACACTGAATTGTTGACGGATTTTTCTGTTATTTTCCGATCATGACAAGGAGCACACGGCGAGAGTGACCGTTCGGCAGCTGATGCTCACTCCTCCATGGCACCTGATCCCACCACTAATGTTTTTGGAGGTTCGTGTTTGCTCTGCTCCCGATTTGTATTTTTTTAATGGACTTTGAGCTTGAATATTGTTCGTTATCTCCATATTTCAAGGTACACATTACCACAGCAAATATCTCCTCTGGTTTATGACCAGTAGAGCTATACATAAAGTTTACCATCTTTGAGAGTTGCCATGATAATACCGGTATTTATAAACATTTTTAGAATTTTGCTTTTCTTTTATATTTATATATATATTTGTAAAATATGACCCTCTACTGCCAATCCTAAATTTGA